GTGGGGAAGAGTAAACGGTATCACCAGCTGTGGCGTGTTCAGCTGAAGCTGAACTGAGTCGTAGGGTTGGAAATGTTTGGTTTGAATCATTAACTGCATCTTCCGTGTTTTCCCAGATGCTTCGGGTCACACTGAAGGCTCCCTCGCTATCAGCACGGCTCAGAGGGAGAAACGGCTCCTAAATGGGATCATCCAGCACCTTCTGCCCACTGTGGGTTCTTCTGTCAAGTCCATGGTTCTTGCCTATAGTTCTACAGTTTCAAGCAAAATGGTATGTTTTTGTTTTTTTTTTATACTGGAACTTAACGGCGTTTCCAACTAAACATCCTCTGAAAGTTCTGCTCCGTTTTATTCGCAGGTTCGTCAAATTCTCAGCCTTTGCCCCAACATCACTCACCTGGACCTGACCCAGACGGACGTTACCGATTTTGCTTTTGACAGGTAAAGCTTCAAACTGGACGCTCTTTTCAAAAACATATTCTGAATAGTAGAAAAAGAAAATGACATACCCTCTCCTTTAAGGATTCTCATTACTGATTAAAGAGTTGATCTGAAGTTGATTGATCTTATCGATCAACTGACAATTCATTGATGGGAGCTGCCTTTTTTTTTTTTTTGAAAACCTGAGAGGGCCAGCTCTCTCTCTATATCATAAAAAGCTACCTCTTTCATAATATGTCAAAAAAAAGTATAATTTTAGCATTATTTTGTGTCAGCTACTATTAGGTTGTTGACAAATTAAAAAAAAATTTCCATTAACACATGGAATATAATTTACTGAATTATAGTCTTTGAACTAAATCATGACAATATTATTTATTGGGAAATTTATAACATTATATAGGTAACATTATAACAAATAGTATAATAAATATAAAATGTTACACTTTGTTGATGTACATTTTAAGAAAAATTCAGCGAATGCTCAAATGAGACAACGGTACGAATCGCGCAATCATAAACTGTTTCTCGTATGGACACCAGCAGCTTTATTCCTTTATCAACTGGCTCCTCTTAAGGATGACCAGCTGCACCCTCTTCTGGATGGAGGCCAAACTACAATACTAATACGTTATTAATTGATAGGAACTTTTTGCATCTGTTGTCTGCTAAGATGATCGCAGAGCTCAAGACTCACAGTGTTTCCTGTCTGTCCTCTATCAGCTGGTCCTTTCTTGGAGCTTGCCGCTCTCTGGAGCACCTGGATTTGTCGGGGTGTGAGAAGATCACCGATCACACCCTGAAGAGACTGTCTGTGGGTCTGGGCGACTCCACGTCCTCCGTCGGTTCGGACAAACATTCAGAACGACGAGCCAAGCTGCTCAAAAGCTGCCCTGTGCCCATCACACTAGCGGAGGAGAGAAACCTGCACGCGGTTGGGCGAAGGCAGGCCATCATTTTCAAGCACGGCACGGGTCGCTGGGGCTCTACCTGCATCCCCACTCACGTCTGGGTCCTGGACACTTCCAACCTCGCTGACATCGAAGACGCCGCAGAGTGGAGTCATCGCGGCGGGATGCCTTTCTCAGAAAGCTTGGCGGAGACGACGCAGCTGGTGGGAGGCTCGTGCTGCTGCAAGAGGAGGCGGCGGCACCGGACTGGCTCGGATTCATCCTACCTGCGTCAGCAGTACGCCATATCTGGGGAGATGTTTTGCGGTCACTCCACCTGCTGCTCAAGCGAGAAGGCCCTCAGGACTTTTACTGGGCCCCAAAGTGAGTCGGGCACCACCAGAACCAGCACTGCAGAATTGCGGACTAAATGCTCCCCATCAGGGGGGTGGCAGTGTCTGGAGCCCAAGAACAGGACTGACTGCTCAAAGGCAAAACGATCACTCAAGTTTCTCAGCCTCTCTGGATGCTACCAGATCACTGACCTGGGCTTAAGGTAATGATCACACTTTGATTCAAACTAATAAAAAAATATTTACTTCCACTTCATTCAACCAGGATAAAATCCCATTGAGATTAAAAATCTTTTTCAATAGACTCGGAGTGAAACACGTTTCACTTAAAGTATTTCCTGCTCAAATTTACCTTCTAGATTAAAATGTTAAATTAAGGAGCTGCAGAGAAATTCTTAATTCTTTAGTCTTTTCATGGCACAGATGAAGTTGTAAAACATTCAGCAATACTTTTTTAGTGATTCAAAAGAAAAAATATTGAAATAACCTATTCCACTTATTGAGTAAACTTTTTCTATACAAATATACAACTTGGATCCAATCCTCAGGTTTCTTACAGTGAAATTTACACTTGTTTTTATTATTATTTAAAATAGTTTATTATTTAATCATATTATGACATTTATTTATTAATTATTGTTTTAGCATTTATTTTTCAGGTCTACATGAGTCTGGAAAGTATTTTTTATTGATATATTTTTTAAAGAAATTAGATTTTCCACACATTTTTTTTTATTGTATTCTAAAGGATAAACCTCAACTAGTGCCTAACAAATGCAGGGTTCCTAAAGATAAGAACAAATTTAAACTTTTTTTAAAAATTGCTAAGTCACACGTTGAATTGAAAGTTCAACTTATCCGTATTTTTCACTTACTGACTAGCTGCACCTTCATTAGGAATTCAGAAAACTGGCATTTTGTTGCAAAGCACTTGGTGAATAGAAATTCTTACATTTCAGGTTGAACTGGACCGGTTTGCAAACTGGGTCTAAAATGCCAAAGAAAGTACAACTGGAGCATTTATAAGAACTTTTGCTAAACAAAATGAAGGCAACATTTGTTGTGAAATCTTTTAAGGCAGGTTTCAGAAACTTTGCTTTGAAGAGTCGATCCCTTATTTGTCAAGACCAAAATTTGTAGATTAAAACGGAGCTAATGAACCAAATCCACGGTGTGAAAATTTGACAGCCTAAAGAAGGTCAAGCAAGTTTATACTTGTTATATTGTATTGACATGTAAATAATAACTTTAAAAATAAACTAAGATGAATGTGCAGGAACCCTGACTCATCAGACCTAAATAATAAATTTGCTAATAAAATATTGTTAATCAGTGGGGATCATGAACAGCGCCTCTCCTGTTAGTCCACGTCTGGATGAACCATGTCCATAGATTTGCCTGAGCTGCATTATTCTTTAACGAAGTGGTATTCCCCTCTTGTATTTCAGGGCGTTGTCTCAGCGTGGAGGCCTTCCTGTCCTGGAGCATCTCAACTTGTCTGGCTGCCTCTTCATCACTGAGGTGGGGCTGCAGGAGTTGGTGTCAGCCTGTCCTTCCCTCAATGATGAACACTTCTATTACTGCGACAACATTAACGGTAACACAAGCCAACGTGCCAGAGGCTGTTTTCCATTTCTGCCTCCCACAAAATCCTTCAAGTTTGTGTGATCTAGGAAGTGCCTTGATGAAGACCTGTGTCTCTGTTAAAGTGTAATATTTTTATGATGACTGTAAATGATTTGCCAGTCGACCTATAACAATATGCAGCAGCTGTTACAGACAGGTAAGTATGAATTATGCTAGTGTCAGCAACACGGGCCTGTCAGTTCAAAGTGTATAAATATTAGTGATGCAAGTCATCCGTTAATGACTTGATCTAAAGCTGATTGATCTTATCAATAGACCAACAATTAATTGCTATGTTTGAGAGATAACTTAAGGAGCTTGTTGAATGTTTACATTTCAAAACAGAACCACGTAGTTTTATTTTGCATCCTACACCGGACTCTGTTCGGGCCGTTTTTCTCTCCCATTCTGGTTTCTGTATCAACTGATTCGGCTTAAGGGTGACCAGTGGTGTCCTCTTCTGGACTGCTGCCAAACAACACTAAAAAAGGTCTTAAGCGGGAGCTATTAACCAATTGGAATTTATTTTAATCTAGAAAACCATTAATTGTAAGTTGATTGCTTGCATCCCTAATAGATTTTTTTTTTTTAGTATTTGCTTCTTTTTGTCCTGATGTATTTATCAGTAAGTAATCAATACGTGACTGTTCTCTGCAGGTCCTCATGCAGACACAGCCAGCGGTTGCCAGAACCTGCAGTGTGGTTTCCGAGCCTGCTGTCGGAGAGTGATTTCCGCCTACCAACGCTCCCCTAAAAACATCACTTCTCCCTATTGTTGCACTTTATCCTGGGAAATACCATTTGCTGTATTTTGTCTGTTAAAAAGTGTTTCTTGATGAAACTGTAATTTTTGCTCCCGCTATTTCCCTACTTATTTAGTGGAGATAACTATTTAGAAAGAAGAAATAAATAACGGGGCGAAAGAGTACATGTTGGCTCCTTTGGCTTTGAAAAAGTGAGACGGAAAATTTTTACACAATTGTGTTTTTATTTTTTTTGTCGATAGAGGCCGACTGTCCCCTAATGTTTGTGCATACAACTTTCAACCACCAACATCCTTTCATCCCTTTGCAGTTGATGCTGGTGCAGAACATGTTTACGTTACTGAGGGCCTGAATTCTGATATTTTCAGAATCTGGCACCTTCCGAATCGACCTACGGGATAAACACAAAAAGTCCGATTTTTGGATCCAGGCAGCAAAGACATAGGAACAGGCACATGATGTTGCCATATGTATTGGTTTTGGTTCTGGTCTTCACCATTCTGTCCTTTCAGCTCTCCTGTAAAGGCTTTTGCTCTTTTTTCCCTTTTCTTTATGCACTCCAGTGGGTAAAAAAGAACAAATGTCAATATGAGATGATCACCACCATGTTGGACGGCTCTTGTGTACATAACTGCTTTATCAATTCGCAGCAGGATTTACTTTCTGGTTCTACAGTCTTGCATGAGATCTGTTGAAATTGTCAACTGGTAATAAAACTTTAGACACTGCAGTCTACCTTTTTGTGTACAAAAATACATTTTATTTTCAAATGTGTTTCCCTACTGTGTATTATCTGTAGTGGTACTTTTCTACTGCTATTCCAATTCAAGGTATACAAATATTTCTAAGCACTGTACACAAGTTATTTATACCATGTTGACAGATGCACAATAATTAGGTGAAAAGTCATACATTTTCTTAACAAAAACAACAGTGAAAGGAGTGTATTCAGTCTTTGTCATGTGCGGACGAGTGAGGCGAGGTACACCCACACAGACAGCACGTTGTTGGGATAAGGATGTATGTACACGGCCAGTGCAAACTCCACATTGGACGAGTGAATATTGTGAACCCCTGTGCTGTGAACCGCCTCTATGATGGGTCCGACCTCAGAAAACGGCAGATGGAGGGGGAATCCCGAGATCTGAAAAGACGGGGACCCACAGTCATTTTTAGGTAACGTTCTCCAAATAAAGTGGCATCCGCCGCCAGTTTCCACAGAGAACATCGAAGATATGTGTAAACTGCAAATCATTGCATACTGTCCTTTTATGGAAACTGATCGGTACTGAAGGGTCTCCCAAGTTTTCAACTCACCCTGTAGTCTCCGAGGAGGTTCTGCAACTCGACGCGGTGGCCCTCCGCTACATCCTGACCACGACTCTGCTCAAGTTTGGGCAGAAACTGTTTCAGGGTGGTGTTGCAGTACCGGTTCCAGCGAGTTGGGTGACGAGGGCGCCACTCCATAATCTTCTCCTTTAGTATCTTCTCAACTCTATCCAGAATTACATGTTAAAGTGTAATTTAAAATGCAAGTGTTGATAGTTGAATGCCCTGGATCAGAACAGAGATAACTTCAAGCTGCGTTTATTCCTGTAACTCACCTGTCCTGAAGCTCTGCTGCAGCTGCTTTGTCTGTTTGGCGGTACATTAACTCCTCTGGCTGTGTGAGGAAAAATAGTTAGGGAGAGCAGGGTATCTGCAGGTTTTTGCAAGTCATATTCAAGACTTTTTAAAACCATTTTAATTTCAGCTTGGATGAAATTTAAGACCGAAAAAATTGAAACATAGGGAATGACTGGGGGATGATGCTGGCAACAGAAGTGAGCCAGTGGCAAAAAGATCGTCCACCCAACTGGTTGTACATTTGCACTTAGCCATGATAGCTAACTGGCTGGCTAACAAGGGTATTTTAGCAGCTAGTTACCAAATGCCTTTAATCAGAATGTACTGAAGATGTTTGTGCAAGACTCAAACTTTTGCTGGACAGACAAGTTCTGCAAGACAAAAATAAAGCTACATACAAGCCTGGATAGTCTTGCTACAACAAAATGTAACACTTGCAATTAATGTATTTGAGGTCAACTTACATTTTCTCAATGAATCTATGACATTTTAGGGATGCACGGACACTTTAGAGAAAATGAAAATATAGACGTTTACTGAAAGTAGTTTGCATTCACCTGTACACTAGACAGCCCCGGGTGGGAGAAGGAGCGGGAGAAAAACGGTTTCCACATTTTGGCCTTGGTGATGTCAAAGTTGGTGTGTAATGGTGAAGGATTTTTCTGAATGTTGAACCAAACCTAAACAACAAGCACCCCCAAAACTCTTGGGTCATATCAACAAAAACTGTATCATGTCACATGCAACTGCTCATTTTTCACTCACGTTGTCAGAATTAACCAAGCAGCCAACGGTTTGCAGAGGGCAGAAAGTGTCGCCCTTCTCATAGAACTGCCCACTGCTGGGGTTCCAGATGAAGTAGCCACTCTGCTCATGGGTCAGAACATATGCTGTTGGTCCCTGTGAAAAATCAGCATGTATGAAAGATGTTCCCAAACAGTTTTCTCTCTGCTCTTGGAGGATTTTGAAACGGCTCATTTTTCAGAAACCCCCCCCCCCCCAAAAAAAAAAACATCTGTGTGTTTTCTTTTTTAAGCTCTTGGGTTGTTTTCAGAAACAATTGAGACCCAAATGGAAGAATAAAAACATGAAAAAAGTCAGTTTTGCACAATAGGTCCCCCTTTGTATTTTATCAACTTCAAACCGCAACGTCGTTTTATTGTGATTGTACTTGGCAAAACAAAACAAGAAGAGGATAGAGGTGTGTTTTCAATCCTTTGTGGAAGAAAATTTCAACCAAAGTTTCTTCCACCAGAGCTGTGGATCACTGCAGCTCCCTCAGAGTTAAAACATGGCACTTGTGGCTGCCTCTAAAATTAATGTATCACTTCTGGTGGGTGACCATGTCTTGCAAGGTTTGCAGTTATTACCTGTTCTTTTCATTTTAACTAAAACCCAATAAAATGTATTGAAGTTGTAATTGTGACAAAATGCACAAAGGTTCAAGGTGTATGGTTTGTTGTTGAGGCACTGTCACTACGATAGGTTCAAGTTTAACAAGTAAAGCTCATCTACCTCTGGTATGGCTGTGCCAATTATGAGCCATGCTTTCTTTCCCAAAAAAAGGAAGAAGTTGCACAACAACACGGCGTGTTCCTGCTCATCTCCGGCCAGTAGAGTCAGGAATTCCTGAGAACAAACAGAAGGCACATTTGTAAGTACAGCATTCGTGCCGTTTCCACATCTGACAGAGGTTTCACTCACGTCACACTTGCTCAATAAGTCACAGGTTGCAGAGAAGGAAACCTGATCTGGCAAAGAAGGAATCAGGGAAACATATCGGGCAACAAGGGTCTGCGAAGGGACAGAAGAGCCAAGTCAGCTGGCACGCTAAGAAGTGAAACCTGGCACTGCTCAGCGTGATCGCACCGACCGTGGCTTCCTGGGGGTTGTTAGGAAACGCATCCAGAAACTCCTGCGGCGGGTTGAGCGGTCGGATGTAACGAGTGATGAAGACCGTCTTTCCGCTGAGGTCGATGACCGTGGTGATGCAGGGCCGGCCCGGATAGCTTTCAGCTGCGTGTTTCTCAAACTTCTCTGAAGCGTGCAGCAGGCGCTCATCCTCCTCACTGTTGAACTGCATCAAAGTCACTTCAGATTAACACCCAGTGTCTCTATGGAAACATTTTCACCTGATGCACAGGTAAAAATGATGATACAATAGGGTAAAAGAAAACAATAGAATGTTACCTCTGCTTCCTTTATCTACAGCACGAAGAAGAGCAAAAGCCAATACATAAAAGAAGAAAAGGACAATTTACTGAAGTGATGTGACACCACCTACTTTTAACTAAACAGTCTGAAACAAGAAGAAAAAGGGATAAAAATCCTGACAAATACAGAAAAAGGAAAGATAAAAAAAATACGTAATGTAAAGACATTGTGAAAGGTTTTTGTACCCTTGAAACTTTTCAAACTGTGACATTACAACCACAATGTGACTGTGTTGTATTTTAATCAACACAAAGTAGAATATAAACGTGAAGTGGAGAGAAAATAAATCACGTACATTTCAAAGTGTAGCCTGCATTTACATTCAGTCAAATTTACTGTTACCCTTAAATTTAAAAAAGGTACAACTTTAGTAGGGGTGGGCGATAAGGACCTAAAGTTTAGTTGCGATTTTTTTGTGTTAATACTGTGACAACAACAAACTGACAATAAGAACTATTTATCTTTTATGTCAGTGATGGCATAACGTAGCATTTTGTTGAGACAGGTATTTCAGGTCAGGGATAAAGTTAAAAGCAGGTTTTGGTGAAACGACATCTCAGGCTTTGAACTGCTCACAGAACACTCCCACAAGATAAAACTGAGGTAAAATGCTTTGAAGCTGTAATGGTTGTAATGAGATAAAAAATTTGGAAATGTTCAGGGGGTGTAAATATTTTGCAAGTTAGTCTAAACTTGAACCGAAAGAAGTGGAAACAGCGTTGCGGACATGGACGCTAAAAAAGCTGAAAAAAACAAAAAAAAACAAAAACGTAATAAATCAGAGACTGGGTTACCTTCTCTCTAACAGACTCTCCAGGCACCAGCTGAGGTTCCACAGTGATGAAGAGCCGTATGAACGTCCCGCCCTGTGTGCTCCGCCACTGATCATACACACTGGTGCTGCCGTGCTCCCTGCTGTACCCCAGCAGCACGGCCGGCGTGTTCACTTTGAACGCGCCGTCGATCTGCCAGGCAAAGCGAGAAGTGTCGGTCGTTTGGGAAACTGTCCGCCTTCGCAAACAGCGCAGTGGAGTCTTTACCTTTGACTGAGAGTAAATGGTGCTGAAGGGAATCTTGACCGAGCCCAACCAGTGCTTCTCTATCTGCGTGTGAATGGACGCCGCCCTCGATTTGTCGCTCTGCGCGGCAAAGTCACAGCTGTCATCGCTGACACGGCTGTTTCGGACATAAAATGTGACTTCTATCGTAGACAGATCTTTACCGGTCCAGTCTCAAAGAGCACTTCGTCAAATATGTTGATAAAGACTTCATCTTTGACAGACTGCAAACTGCCAGTGCTGTAGTCCCCATTTGGAGCACTGCGGAGAAGACGTTTGAAAAGGAACACCCATTTACTGCTTGACTGACTCGATAGCGGTCCAGGAATTCAGGAACTCATAATGGAAACACAAAATGAATTTTAATATATGAACCTTTCTATACAACACATTGAAGGTTATGGGTGTAACATGACAAAATGTGAACAGGACAAAAATCTGTCCCAGCTGAGTCAAACTGGATGGCTGTACTGGAGATCTATGTTTTAACTTAATAAAATAAAACCTTGTAATAAATCACGAGAGCCAAGCCAAAATGTCTGCAGGCGGTTACTTAAATGGCAGCTGCAGCTCCTCATTCCAGCTCGGATTCGGTCCGTCGGCTGTGGTTGTTTGGAGCACCGTGCGTTGGAAGGACACTTCCACAAACGGCCTTACTTGTACCTGTATGACACAAAGTGTACATACTTAACACTGATGATGTAGGTCCCAGTGTTCCCACAGTGTGATGTCGGGTTGGGGTGTCCTGTACCTGGCTGAGGTACCAATCACTGCCCTGGACGGCACCCTGAGAAGACTGTCTCGGTTTGCTGGAAAGCAAAAAGTGGGACTGTGTCAGGCAATCCAAATACATGTTCGACATGACGTCTTCTTGATTACTTAAAAAAATTACAAAAATAAATAAATAAGAAAGGGTGCTGGCGCTCACCTGCTCTGGGGTTTGCGGATCGGGATGTTGTGGGCCCGGATGACGTTAACGAGCAGTCTGATGTCCCCGTCCAACAGATTCTGTGCCGTGACTTTTTTCCTTTCTTTCCTTTGAGGTTTCAGTGGCCGTTTGGATTCAGCCAGCTTGAACAGGTTAATTCCCAGAATGCTGTTGGCAGAAAGACACATGACATATGAAAACCAGACGTTTAAACTCTTATGGAAAAGAATGAAAACGAATGAGTGGGATTGTTGGTTACTAACAGTACCCAATGCACCAGGGAGACAGGCAGAGACTCCTGAGGTGAAAATCTAAGGTTCTCTATTGGTTAAAGCTTAAATTGTAGTTTTACTAGAATGTGACATAACATATTCTGGATTTTAATTGTTGACATTTTAAGCAAGGACATTAAAACCAACATCTTGCCATGTGTTCGTTACCTCATTATAGTAGCAGTAATAGGATAAAACGGTTATGACTTGTGAATTTTCGCTTGACTGAACTATTAGAAAGGAGCCACATCACACACAAATGCCATAAAACGAAGCATGTCAATGTTTCAGTGCCAATTGTTACAATTCTGCACCATTTAATTGAGGCCATTCTACATAATCTCTTCCAAAACTGTTGGGAAAATTTGAAAGTTTATAAGAGGACTAAACACTGCGGTGGTCTATAGGCACTAGAGCTTTGGCACCTGCATTTGCAGCAAAAAAGCACACAAAGACAGAGCAAGGGGGGGAAAAGCAAACAAAAAAGCATTACAAACATACCCTGAACCTGCACCACTGTAAAAACGAAGTGCAAACGAACAGCATAAACATAGAAAACACATTTTAAACATTCAGTCGCAGATATGAAAAGAACAGCAAATGTGTCACTGATGCACTATTCTGCATACGTTATATATTGTACGAAGCAATTTTGTTGGGAAATGTGTAAAAAGTTTTTTTTTTTTTTTTGCATTAGCAGAGCAGGCAAAAAAACCCAAAATATAATGTGAAGAAATATTTTAGAAATTGGACAAAATCAATGGTGGCACAAAAAAATGGTAAACTAAAATATGAGAAAACTTTGTTTTGAAATGGCTCTCTTTCTCACACCCTAAACACGTGACTAATCAAAAAAAGTAAAAAAAATAAATAAATAAAATCTCTAAAAACATGGTGCCATGTTTTCTGACACATTTAGCAAACAGTTCTGATAATTGTAAAACTACCAGAGAAGTTTGGTCTGAATTAATGTCAGACAGTGAGAAAAAGAAGATATAGACTTATTTTTATTATCTTCAAATGTCTGGTCTCAACTTTATATTATGCTTTCCAAATTTAGGCTTACAATCAAGGGATTGCACTTTATTACCAAACTTTGCAGTTTGAATGTCAAGCACTTTGAAGGGCTTTATGCAGAAGTCAAGCACTTCCCAAACCTTGAAAACACCTCACTGATATTAAGCATCTTCAAGGATTTCAAGCACCCGTACAAACTCCTGTAAAAAAAATTAAAAATGTCTGGTTTAATATTCACCCAATGCTTGGTATCTCTTCTTCGATCACCAGGTCGGACAGTTGGTAGTAATGTTTGGTGAGAAGAAATCTGTTGATGACCAATTCTCGTATCTATGAAGCAATGGCAGCAGCAACACGGCTCATTCAACGGCACAGAAAACAAAGATGGGTCTCAGTTTCTACATTAAAGAAAATCACTTAGACACCTGCTGAAGGTATTTGGACACAATAGCTCTGTGAGGATCCAGATGTTGCCTGGTGTCAACCGTCTCCCCCTCTTTCAGTCTTTTTTCATAATCCTAAACTCATTCAAACCAAAGCGAGAGAAGAACGGTCATTACAGCTCACAAATCGTCTCAGAATCCTTTTCAGAATATTCCGCGACTTGGTACGGCGTTGGAAGGCTGACCTGGAAAACCTTGTCAGAGATCTCCCTCTCCAGAAGAGGAACAAATTTGTAATTGCGAAACTCGGGAGCCTCCTGGTTCCTCAGCCTGAGCAGGCGGAACCTCTTGGACTTCTCTATCTCCTCATCACTTACAAAGTTGAACTCCTCCTGCAGGTGTTCAAGGCGAAAGTAGTCGGGAGCAGTCACCTCGCCACTGGTCGCCACCTGTGAAGACACGGCGGCTGTTCTTATCCGGGGTTTTGACTTTATCCTGGAGCTTTCCAGGAAAACAATCTTGTGTGTTACGCACTTTCAGAAGATGGATGATGGAGGTGTTCTTGGGATCGTTGGGGTCCAGTCGCGACTGTATGGCCCACTCACCGATCTTTTTCATGTCATACAATCCGGTCGCCCCGATGTATGAGACAGCATCCAGACGGCCTGGCCCTCTAAGATGCAGAAATACACAATTGTCGATGTATGGGAAATAGGCAATTGTGAGATTTTTTTTCTGTCTTGGAGTGAGAGGTGAGGCGTGATTATGAAATTTCACTACTTTTGTTTGCAGGGAGTGCAGGCTGTATGGTTTCTTGCCATCTTGTTTGTACCTTAGCACCTCCCAGTTCAGAATCTGAATTATTTTGTTTTCCTGCTGTTTAAACACATTTTGAAACAGCACAATACTGAAGGTAGTTTTTGATTGGACTCTGTGGTAAAATAAGATTTCACAGGTTCAATGGCAACAGGACCAACAAAGTCAGATTTTTTTTAGAGATCAATAATACAGATTTATTATTCTTTACTAAAAGCAGAGCTTCTTTGAGTGATGATGCTTTGGCAGATTAACTGCTAGCACAAGCAGTGGCACTCCAAACGGAGGGTAGGGGGAGGCCCTGGCTCCTTCTTGCCATGTTCATGTAATAGAAAGGCATACAGAGCAATCTTCTTCAATGAAGATGTACACATAAAGCCCAATAAGTATTTAATTAAATAAAACTATATGTTTTTTAATTATTATTATTTTTTAGTTGTATTCAGATATTTTTTTTTCTGGCCACCCTTATAAAAATTTTTCTGAGGATGCCACATGTCCAGTTTAAAAACGTGACATGGGGATCTATAAGCTTTTTAGCTCCTCCCTCAGTTTTCCACACATTTAACACTTATACAAAACTTTGTGAATTAGATTTTACAAATATTCTGCAAACATTTGCCACACACACACAAGTACGAGCAAATGTATTTGTCCGTGGCTAAGCAGACACGTTTCCATTATCTGTGTAGTAGGAATTCAACCTCCCACCATCTGAGAAACTCTTAGATCTGCGGTGTTGGTTTCATGGGCGCCAGGTCGGACGCCACTTTGTTCAGATTGCAAATCGACCATTGTCCCCCTGTGACACTTGAGTACCTATGTGCGCCAACAGGATGCTGAGAAAGAGGCGGTGCGAGTGGGACACCCTCCTCCCCGATACCCCACGACACGCAGCAAGACAGCTTTCCGGACGTCAGCAGTGTCACTTTGTTGCTGCCATCGGACTCAAAGGAGAGCGGCACATCTGAAGACACGGACAGAGGAAGAGGGTCGATGAAATGGCGAGAGCATGTGCCGGTGCTCATTCATGTCTCTGAAGTTTTGCTCCCAATGAATCAAGAATTTTTTTTAACATTCTTTTTAAACAGCCAAGTTTTACTTTTATTTGAACTTGCTTTTTATTTCTACGTTGGCATCTGATTATAACTACATTAGTGTTTGTTTACAGCTGTGGTTGACACAGAAATTTTACAAGATTAACAAAGAACTACATCGCAAAAACACACTTTTCATATTTTTCATATCTTGTTTCAACTAGAGTAGAGAAGTCCAAATTTCAGAATTCATTCACTTTCAAACTTCTACAGCACCACACTTGAACTAAAACAATGAACTACAAAACACAGCTTCTAATCACTGTTTTATATCATTTATTGCTGTCATTAATAATATTGTGGTGTAGTATTCTATAGCAGGGACAAAGTAAACCTAAATATAATAACTATTTATGTTTTGAAATGTCTTGCTTTCTCCCAGACACGTGACTGATCTGAAATAGTTACAAAAAAAAATCTCTAAAAAAGAGTTTTGTGGCATTTAGCCAATAGAAATAATTTTGGTAATTCTAACTGACCTAAAGCAAAAGAATTTTTTTCTAATTTAATTTTGGAGGGTGAGGAAAAATGTACCTGAGTGTTTCAGTGTCTTTACATATCTCGCTTCAACTGTAAACAAAGTTTTCCAAAACGTTTTTTTTATAAAACTGCACGACTGGAATATCAAACACTTTCCGAACCTTGAAGACACTGAATTGAAATTCAAGCTTTTTCAGGATTTCAAGCACCTGAGCGAATCATGACATTTGGAAAAGTGAAAAACTGAAATTAGGAGTGACTTGAGACTCTTGCAGAGTACTGTCTGCTTTTTGGGTATTGTTAGTTGAAGGTAGAGTGATCTGAAAAAAAAAAAAAAGAAGTACCACTTCCAACTCCCTCGTGATCAAACATCACGTGCTGGTTGCTGCTGAACTCAATTTCCTCAATAGGGGCTCTGCCTGTAACGACTGAAGGGTCGGGTACAGGAACAAACACCTGAGCCAGCAGGGAGTATGATGACCCAATCTCCTCAAACACCTGCTCAAACACAGTACACAAACACAACCGAGTAAAACCGAAAGACTACTGTGAGCAACTGAACTGAAATATGCAGGAACAGGCAAAAGAGTTTTACTGTACCTGCAGATTAATGCTGTGTGGACAGTTGAGCACCTTCAGATTGAAAATTTGTCCAAAGTGAACCCTGAAGTCGGCGCTCAGGGAGCGACTGTCTGTTCTGGAAACTTCCTTGTAGTTGTAAAGGATCTTGATGAAAAGAGAGCGCCTCGAAACATCTTCCCGGCGAGCTATTTCAGCCCTGAAAGACGACGCAAAACCTCTCAGTGTGGAGAACAATAACAGGGTTATTGAAGGTTTTGCTAACTCAAATTTAGACATTTTAAGACCATTTCTAAACATAGGGCTCCCACTGGTATTTAGAAAAAGAAATTCATTGCTTTTCCATGACTCTCCATGACCTTCATTATAATTTTCCAAGACCCATGCATAACAAGTTTAGAAAGAAAAGTGTATAACTTAAAAAGCAACTCCACCAGGTTGAAGGACAGCAAACATGTAAAAGTGTAGTGCAGGCAGATAGGGAGCGATTATAAATGTTCAGAGTGCAACAGGGACAACCACTGCTAAGACGGTTGAGTACATTCACTGTGTTGTATCGATACTTCTTCTAATTGAGTTATTTTGTGTTGCAGGAAAGTTGGTGATGTTATTGTTATTGAGTTCCATATCAGTATGGTTCCATTATGAGTTATTTTTACTTTGTGAACCACATTTTTTTCAGAATCTAAGACATTTAAAGGTCTTCAGTTTAGATACATGGATTTAAGACTTTTTAAGTATACATGGACACCCACAATACATTTGGCAAATATTCCGGCATTAGGAGGATTTGTTAGCTGCTACTTGAAGGTGCTGACCTGGGACAGAGATCGCTGGCTGTGACGCCTCCTGATGTTGACAGGTCTGGGACCAGAATGGCCTCTCCTGGTTTCCTACGTATCCTGGAGGCTTTTTCTCTCACCCACCGCTCCAGGGATTCAATGTCCGGCCTTTCTGGAACCTCTGGTTTCACGCGTTCTTCCTCAGACGGATCCTCTGACTCAGTCTCATCCTGATCCTGTCCTTCTTCTTCTTCTTCTTCTTCTTCTGTGTCGTCCTGTGTTTGGCCTTTCTTTTTCTTCTTTCTTCGCTTGGCTTTCTGCAAACATTGAATATGAGAACAGGTGCTTGAATACGAATGTGAGGCCGATGAAGAAAACAGACTGCGCTATGACTGGTAGGCACCTGCTTCTTCCTCCAGAGTTTCCAATCTTCCAGCTGCTTGTTATACTCCACTAGCTTCTTTTGGTACTGCTCCTCACTTTCTGCTTCCAGTTCCAAAACTTCTTTCAGGATTTCGCCTTCATACTCCCACTCATCCAAAGCCCGATCTACATTCTCCCTGAAGCAGTGACATAAAAAAAAAAAAAATGGAAATGTGACACAAATGAACACAAAGCTCTGATAAGAAGCAGATAAGTACAACAAGTAGTTGTTTCTACATTTTCTCATGTTATGATCAGAAACTAATAAATTTTAATGTAATGTCTACGCATTCTTAAAAAGTCTTGAATGCATCTAAAATTAAGGCCATATAGTGCCTTACATTAGATTAAACACATTATTTTTGTTTGTTTTTTCCTTGTGGGATTGTCGTGCAGACATCTTGAATTTTGTGACTTGAGGTGGTACATTGTGTTGGTCCTTCAAATAAAATCCATTGAGTTTTGTGGCTATAATGAGGACATTTTTGAAGGAGAGGGATCATTTTCACAGTGAAGCAACATCAGGCAGAAATTGTAAAATTAACTAATGATGTTTCCATTGAGAAGTCTATGAATTAAGTAGTTACCTTCTGAGAAAAAGCTTAAAAGGTGTATTGGTATACTTCTGAAACTCTCTCATTGACTTGATCTCCTTCCACACTTTAATGATGCTCCTCAGCAGAGTCCTGTCCTTCTCCTGCTCCAAGTCGCGCAGCTGCCGAGTGTTCCTATTGTGGATGCATCATAGGAAAACTGGTTCATTACGTAGCCAGTACTGTTGTACTGACTACGTACTACAGAGACCTCACCTCACTTCTAGACTGTACTCAGAAATCCTGTGCTGCAAGGCCTCGGAGGAGCCCTGCTCACCGTGGATCCTCATCATGTTCCGCAGAGCTTTCCTCAGGCCGTTCAACTGCAGCAGAACGAACACAAAAAGATGCCAGACCCTGTAAATACTGCAACAAAGCATCTTGGCAAAATAGAATCAAAATCGGGTTGGTGTACGGACTGCTTTGATCCACTAGAGTTTACCTTCTCGGTAAGGTGCCCTGTGAGATTATTCTGTTGCCTGCTGAGGTACTGATCGTACAACTGAGCTAGCCGCGATGCCAGGACGTGTTCGCGGCTAAAGAGAGGATGATGGGAGAAGATCAGCCCGGAGACATCAACGTCAAGCTGGTAGTCTCCCTCGGGGTCTGTGGCACCAGCAATGTACAGATTTGCATACTGGGACTTCATAGCCTAGTACATAAATAAAAAAACACAATTACCCATCATCCACTGTCCTGAAAGATGTGTGTTTGGTTTCTACACAATCGTTTTGTGAACATTTTATAGTTAAGATAGATTTAAGTTGTTTCAGAACATCTTTTGTGTATTTTATGAGCACAAATATCAATATCACACTTCACTTCAGAATTGTTACTATCAACATCAGATTCTACTGATCAACATATTTCTCAGATGTCTGGATGGATTGGCTCTGAAGGAGAGTCTGACCTTCCTGTATACTGTTTGCAGAGCAGGATCCAGCTCTTCATCCATGTGGAAAAGGGGTGGCCTTGTGGACGATTCCTTTATGGGGTCAGGCAGAGCAAGAATCTTCCCATCATCTCCAAACCATTTGCTTCCCTTCAAGCAAAGTAAAAAAACGAAAAGACAAGCATAAATCTAAAATTGAACAGAGTTCTTTATACAAACAGTTTAGCAGATCAGCTGATGATACCTCAGCCATTTTCAAAATGCGATTCTCTGAAATGTTTTCGTTGGTCAAAGATACGGCAGGCCGTTGTCCCACGTAGAGACCCTCGTCCTCCAGAAAGCGGGGCTTCATGTTTTCGGGCAGCTTGACGGAGGTTGGGACTGTAGAGATTTTTATACAATTCCAGTTAGACCAGCAGTGAGTTGAAGGGGTAACTGCCGAAACGTGTGTTACCTGTTAGAAAGCTCGGTGTAAACAGGAGTTCACGGTCTCGTTGGACGCGCATTTTGCGCCCAACATACTCTGCTTTCCTCATTTCCACAAAGTCCTGAGGTGAATGGTCAATGACGAATAAATCGTCTTCATTTCGCACCAGAGGAGCTTCTTCACTCTTAAGCAAGGTGTAAAACAAGAGTCAGTCACTCAATTCTTTCCAGCGTAATACAGTGCCGTGATTTTTCTGTGCTATATTCACAAAATTAAATTTGTTTTGTGTTTCTGTTCATAATGTTGGACATAGGCCTGTCACAATAACAAATATTACTGGATGATAGATTATCCCTGTATTTATTTTGATAATTAAGGGATAATTACACCCCAACCGGCCTGCAGGAATGTTCAGAATAGCCCTTCTGGTCATCATGTGCATTATATTCGATATTAGAGACAATTATTGAAAATGGATGCTTTGAGATCATTTTCAAGAAATATATTGATAATGGCGTCTCAAAGACTAATGGACTTAAAAACAAACAAAACAAACAAAAATAATAAATAAAAACAAATTCATTAAAAAATAAAACACACACACAAACCCAAACCATAAATAATCAATTATGTGTGAACAAAATTGCCCTTCAAAAAAATATTTAAAGCTCATTTTAATTTAATTGATTGATTTCTCATCCCGACAAATTTAGTTGTACAGTTACAAATAAAAAAAAAAAAAGGTCGGCTCCCATCTGTTGCTCGGTCACAGGCTCTTTTTTTTTACTGGCTGTCAGTAACATGTTAGCACTAGAGGCAGTTATCAGTTCACCCTGCATCCAGATCGGCCCTTACAACATTCAAACATGTTAGTTTGACTCTGACTGAGAAGCCGTCCAGTCCCCTCACACACTTGCAGACTCCAGTCTTCACCCCATCTCACACTACATGTTACCTGGAACTCATTTTGGTCTTGATTATCTTCCTCTGCTTCGTCCTCTGCTTCGTCCTCTTCTTCCTCTTCGGCTTCCTCTTGTCCGTTTTCATCTCTGTCGTCCTCCTCGACTCCGTCTCTCTGTTTTTGTCTCTTCCTGCTCTTACTCTCTGGCTTACTTCGTTGTTCAGGCTCATAGTTAAATGTAAAGAAATTGTATGCTTCTTCAGCAGTTGGGAAGTCTTCTTCTGCCTTGATTTGGAAAGGTAAAAAAAAAAAAGCATGTGAACAGAAATATTAGTTTTAAGAGAAATATTAACGTCAGTATGCAGCTTACTCTCTCTCGAAACTTGATTCTGGTGCCAAGGGTCAGGGGGTCGTCGTGTCTTCCTGAACTGACTGGATGAGCCTAGTCAACAATGGAAAGTTACTTCTGCTGCTGTACTTTATTACATGTGCTGAGATGTCTTTCAAATCACCTCTCTATCGAATCTTGTTATGGTGTCTCTGTCTTTGAGCCGCTGGAGTCGACTGACCGGCTCACTGGAATCCTCTGACGTTTCCTGCTGCTGAAGGCTCTCTCCTTTAGACTGCAAAGCAGCGTACATACAGTGGCGCTCAGGGACTGACAGGCATATGAGTGGTAATAGTCTCACTTATGTAAAAAAGGAAAAAGAGAAACTGAAATTTACCCTGGCTGCTCTCAGCTTCTCTTGCAAATGCCGTGTCACAAAAGTGTCTAAATGCAGAGAGCTGGAGGGCTGCTCAGATTTCACAGAGACTCCTACAAGAAGCAGTAGTCATGACAATGTAACAGTAAACATAAAGTAAGTGATAGATTGTAAATGCAATGTTCAAATTAACATTAAACTGCAAAGGAAGTCTTCCAAAAATATAGACCTTCCTTAACTATTTCAACTTTTGTCACGTTATATCCACACTCACCAATTTATTTTTTTTATTTTATGGAATAGGCTAAAAACAAAGTAATGTATGAGTTAAGAAAACTGCATAAATGTTTCCTTTATTCTGTGGATGGTCCTGTGGATGTTTAAAGAGCTCTTTAAATAAAGCCAGCGCTTCACAGTTAGATGCTACTTTGTGTTCGTCTGTTACAGTAGATGCAAATAAAATGCATTAAAATGGGAGGCTGTTATGTGACAAAAATGGAAAAGGTTCAAAGGAGTAGACACAAACCTCTCTGAGAACTAGTGGGAGGTCTTGTAGAAACCACAGAATCATCCATCCTACTAGATGGTCCCTCGATTGGACTGTTGTACTGAGTGGGGGAAACTTCCCCAGCATCCTCATCCTGTCCCAGCAACTATTCAACAAGAGTCACCAGTAATATTAGGCATAATGGGAGTAAAACTGAGCCAACATAAAAAATTTTTTAAAAAAATCCCAGACAACTGGATTGCACCTTTGTCTTCCTCTTCTCTCTCTGGGCTCTCAGTGTGCGTCTCAGAGTCTCTCCTGGATCCTCATCGCTGCCCTCAGCTTCCTGGTGGAAGACAGCCACGCAGTTTTAGAGCAGGCAGAAATACAGAGCCCACATCCACGCTGCTATTAGCCTCTAAAGCTGCAGGAAGGCTTAGGATGAAGGGAGATTGCTGTTGAAGAGCCAGCAGCACATACAGGAGAGCAGCAACAGCCTAAAAGCTCAGCTACATCACACAAACCAACCTTCATTGCAGTCGGTTGCTTCTCCACATTGAACTTGGCGGACGGAACCAGAGCCTATCGAGTACAGTTAGATTGATCAGAGCGTTAGCAGCTCCTGTTTCTGTGTTTCTGCAACATCCTCTTCCTGTCTTTCTTCCCTCGGGTCGAGTACAGGCTCGTTAAAAGTGACGCTTCATGTTGGACTGACTGAATTAAGTAAGCATGCGCGCGCTAAACATGAAATATCCTGGTAAAATGTTCATGCTTCATTTCACCTCAAAAGTTCGATTACTTTACCTGACTGTCGTCCTTGTTTTTGTTTTTTACCAAAGTGTCTTGCAAGGCCTGCCGTTTCTTTCGCAGTTTATCCCGAATGTCGCTAAAGGTTTGTTACAACACAGGAAATTATGTTTTATTAGTAACCGAGCGCTGAAAAAAGGTAATTCACAGATTTACTTGCTACCGGAGCAGTCAAATGTTTACCTTGGTGCAGCCATTTCTTTTCCATCAACATTCACTAACTGTCGTGAAAATGTTACATTCCTAACAGTGTAAGTATGCGCATAGGTGAAGAGTTATCTTTTAGACGAAGATACTTTTCTGCTAATGTCTGGCACTCCGTTAACGCTGCCTAGTAACGACGTAAACTACTTCTCAACCTACCACGAGCGACGTCGTGAATGTAACCTAAAAGCCACAGAGAAGGATTTCTATTGGTCGGATTAACTGCCAATCAAAGCTCTCACTTTAAAGACACCCGCCCACTACGTGGCGCGAGGATGGACAAACATGGAAGTTTAGGTTTATTATTATTATTATTATTATTATTATTATTATTATTATTATTATTATTATTATTATTATTATTATTATTATTATTATTATTATTATTAGTAGTAGTAGTAGTAGTAGTAGTAGTATTCCGAACTCATGTTGCTTGTGGAGTAGTTTTTCTTCCCCCCTCCCCCATCTTCATTTCTACAGTATGTACCAAAACTGACAAAACTGGGTAGAAATCTGGGAGAATGGAAAATATTTCTTACTGCCTGCATATTTTCTGCATTTTATCCCAGTCATTTTCTCACCTCCATTGCCACATACTCTGCTGAATTAAAAACTCACAAAAGGAGAGCTTTGTTTTTATTTGCAAATTATTTAAATCCAGCAAAACACGCTGAATATCAGTAGTTCCATAATCCAAATAATCAAAGGGAGTGATGCTCACATTAAAAACCTTGTTCAAAGCGATCTTAACTGGTTGCAGTGTTTCTGTTCCGGGATGCAGATTAAAGCCATCCCAACTGACCAGGATTAGGATTTACAGATTTGAAATTTGAATAGAGCAGATATGCAGCTTCAGCAGCTGTCTGTACATGGTGTTCAGTGTTTTTATTTTTAAACCATCCCAAAGCAAACAGGTTTTAATCCACTGGAGATCACAGAGGACACACAAGGTGACTAACTCAGAGAACATAAATGAGTATCACAAACCGAGACTTTACTACAATTAAATTTTGATCAATTGTGAAGGAATGAGTGGCATTCTGCTGCCTATCCAGCAGATCAGCATCGTATGTGAGTGAAGCGCTCTGCCTCAGATCACCTGCAGCTGAAGGAAAATAAATCAGCACATGCAAAGCAAGTTTTTTTTTTTTTTTTTTTTTTTTAGAGTGGCCTAGCCAAAGTAACACCTGTTAGTAGAGCTGAGGTGTGATTTCTTTTTCAAATAAGTGCAGGCAGGTTTGGATAGCTCTTTTCCCTAAATAGAAAAAATAATAATATAATAAAAATTAGAAACAACTTTTGTATTTATTTATGTTATCTTTGTTTGTTGTTAAAATTAGTTTAATGATTTTATGAAACATTTCAGTGTGATAAAATGGCAAAAAGAGAAGAAATCTGTAATGGAGAGCAAATACATTTTCACATGGCAAAACTGGAGGAGTCGTGTTATGCTCACTTTGCAGGATTCAGTTTTCTTAATAGTCTGTTAGTTTAAATTTGGGGATAGAAAAAATGTTTACGTGTTAAAATAAAGGCAAAGCTTCTGATTGTTCAGACATCTTAACTTGGGAGCCCTACCTCTCTGTAACTTGAAATTCAAATATAATATATGGATCCCAAAGGGAAATGAAATGTTGTCAAAACTCATATTAATTGAAATTCTTGAAACATCGCATGGATGTTCATTTTTCAGTAAAAATCTCCTGCAGCAGTCTGTATTGCAACACTTTCTCGTAAAAAGAATGGTCAGGGTTGTCCATAATTGAAACTATAGAATTTCATTACTTTAATTTAGAAAATAACAAGTAGTTTAAAAAAAACCTTCATGAATATAGAAGAATCTCAGCCAAAATCAGAGTGAAAAATGTCTCCCAAACGGAAGGTTAGAATGTCTTTTTCTTTTCTAAACAAATTCACACCTTAAATTATCTGGAATTTTCTTTTAATCTAAATCAGTTTCTCACCGGAATCAAATAAATCACCCAAAGCTTCATCAGATTTCCACAATGTTAAATGAATTCTTCGCTAATCCCATAGTAGTACAAACACGTAAATAACACAATATATATAGTTTGTTCACACCAAAAGTGTTCTGATTGAGTTATAATAGCAATCAAACCCATAATCCGGGTAATTAAAGGGAGTAATGCTCCCTGTAGCAAACAGTTTGTGGTCCTGTCTTGTTCTCTGGGTTTTCTACGCATAGTCCGCTGCCAGTGTGTCAAAGTAGTTTGTGTCTGCGTAGAGTAGGAACCCAGAGAACAGGCTGTCAGCCCAGCTGGGGTCCGTAAATAAGCCGTTCTGATCACTATAGAAGATCTCCATCCACACCTCGTCTTCAGGGTTCAGGAACATGACGGTGGAACCGGACGCCACGTCATGGTTTCCTGTGTTGGCGTCGAAGGTCTTGATGCGGTACTGACCGTTCTGCACCAGACTGATGGCCAGGTGTTTGTTGGCCAGTGTAATGTCATAGGAGAAATAATAGACGCCCGGGTATGCGCAGATGAATTTGCCCGTCTGGGGGTTGTAGTGTCCGCCTTCATTGAAGAGGACCTTGTTGAACTTGATGGGGGTCTTCTCTGCGGGGTAGCTACTGGTGATTCCCACCGAGAAGGCAGATTTGGGTAGCAGGCTGCCACATTTGCACGTTCCCGCAGTTCCACGGGGTCCCCGATCACCCCTATCGCCTTTATCTCCATCGCGGCCTGCAGGTCCAGGAGGCCCCGCGTCTCCGTTGTCTCCCGCGGGGCCGCGTTTTCCCGCGGGGCCGCGTTCACCTCGCTCTCCAATTTTCCCCGTCGGGCCAACTCTGCCCTTCACCCCTAAAACAGAAACGTCAACATTAAATGTCAGTTTTGCAGTGATATGGTTGTGACTTTACAACCGCAGGGTGTTCTATCAGGACACTATGAAACAGCGTTTTGTCTGAAACTTCCTACCGTACCTTTACTTTCAACCCGTTTGACCCAATGTCTTGCAAGATCTCGCCCCCAGCTCCCCTGCTGGAGGGAAAAAAGCTGCTCCCTTTGGTTTTAGCTGTCAAGTTATCAACAGAACGCACTCAACCTTAAATGTACGCATGACATATAAAAGAAAAAGGGAGGCTAATTGTCAAGGCCAGGAAAAAGTTTTAATTAAAAAACAAAATACAGCAACGGAGAGGGAAGTAGGTTGGTGATGCTAGCTTGACTCTGACAACTTTAACATGTAGACGTGCTGTGGGATTTGGTTCAATAAAACTGGCGACCCATACACAGTTCTGACAGGTAGAGCAGGTCTCTAAATTAGTTTGTTTTCTCAAAATATTGCACGTTTAACTAATTAAACATGCAAAAGAATGACATTGTTTTGCATTTTTAACTTTTAATACAAGAAATGTGGCCTCAGAGTAGTTCAGCTTGTGAAAATATTGAAAAATGTACATCATCTCACAACTATCCGCTTTTCTGTGTTGGTCTACCCCACAAAATCTCGATAAAATGCTCTACAGTAGGCATGTGTCCATGTATCTATGTAGCCATGGGTCATGAAGACTTTTTTACCTATGTGTTGATTCCTTATTTTGTTCTTCCATTAGTTGAATCAGTTTCAGCACCACACCTACCCCTTGCATTAGGTCACAGCTGGAATGCAGCCAACTTGACATTAGAACAACAACATAGTTTGTCGGCCGCATTCCTCCGAACTACCTTATACCCGATCGCCTCCATCCAGAGTAAACACCCTAAAGCAAGGACGTAGTTTATGTTTGAGCATGCTCCGTAGGCCCGAGAGGGTTCTACAGGAATCCATGTCGTCAGACAATTGAAAACATAACCCTTTTTTTTTTCCTTTTACTTTTTTTTTATTGCTGACAGATTTATCGTGTTATAAGGTTCTAAGCTGTTGACGGATTGATATTTTATTTTTGGAAAGATCAACAGGATCTGGGCTTCACAGCTAGATTGGATCCTTCGTGGGTTACATTGGCAGCATTCTTAAAGAGAATGAAAATTAACAAACGCACATCCAAACAACCCAACTTTTATGAATGAATCTATTTTAACTCCAGACTTCTCACAAAGTCACATCAATCCTCCTGGTTTCCACTTTCCGCACATTGTTGCTTCAAACAGTTCGGTGCAGAAGTGCAAGGCTGTGATTGTTGGGCTTGGCATTGCTGGTACATGCCCATAAATTACACCGCATGGTTTAGCAAATACCAATAACTCCAGCTCTCTATCAGCAAACTAAAGCAGTCAGAGCTGTAATATTTAACGGAGACTCAGCCAAGATGAAACAGCTGTGTTTGAAAAACTCCCATTCTGAGCTCAAAACCAGCAGAACAAATACTGAGGTCGACTGGCAGGTATGATCACCTCCCGATGAGGGCTTTGCAAGGCTTTTGCTCACATCTCAAGTTATATATTTAAAAAAAAAACTTGAAAAAGGTGGTTTTAAAAAAATGTAAATCACTTTACGAAAGACTCTATGCACCTAGGTTGGCGTAATAAATGTTGACGCTGATGACGTTTACAAAATGACAACAAGTTTGACTAGATGGGAAGGATTGCGAGGCAGGAAAAGTATGTTGCTTTTAATAATAATAAAAAAAAATTTAAAAAACGAGAACATAATTTTGGAGAGTTGCTTCTGTTCAAACAACATTTTTGGGATGAGATTGAAGAGGAAATGTTTGCCATAACTCACAAATCAAAACACTGAGTCTCACAACTGACAAGCACGGTGGAGGAGGAGTGATGATTTGGCCACATTATATAGTATGTACATTATATTTGCTACACAAATATAATATTTGATGTTTTATTTTCTTCTTCATAGTTCCTATGCCCAAAACAAAGAGTCCATATTATACCTGTATCGCCCTTTTCTCCCTTTTCCCCCTTTCGGCCGTCTCTGCCGTCTCTTCCTGGAATTCCGACATTCCCATCTGCTCCCGGTGGTCCGCTGGGACCTGGTTTGCCGGGCGGGCCAGGCGACCCGGGGACGCTGCAGACCAGTCGAGGTGCTCCTTTCAGCTTGGACTCGAGCAGCTGCCCGGTGACGCAATGGCACAGATAGATTGCTCCCATTAGTAACCACATCTTCAAATCTGCAGAAGCAAATAATTTGTTGAAGGACAATTAGTTTTCCGTGTGGAAAACAATTTCTACCCCAAAATCATTTTTTGATTTTGTTATTTTACAACAAATCTTAAGGAGTCTTATTCATATTTTTTGGACCAACACGAAGCAGTGCTTGGTTTAAAACTGGAAAGAACATGGATAACAATTCATTTTTTATTTCCTTGATAACAATGTCAATATTAATCAATAGTACTATGTGAAACCACTTTGCTCTGTATTTGCTACTGTGTTATGGAGTTTGTCTTCTGCTATTTCTTTTTTCCCGTGTGAATTGTAGAGAATAAAATTTTCAAAATTAATAAAACTCACATTTTACGTTCTAATACATTTATCACTGTGATGAGTTCGTACACCATTATTTCAATCCTCAATGTTAATGATTGGAACGACTTCCTAAAAAACCCCAAAAAACAACAAAGCTCAGTACGCCAACTTTAATGTCGACCTTTATCAACTCAGTAAAAACCAAAAGCCATGATCAATGTCTGAATATGGTTGCACTTTTACTTTTTAAATGATATTCGTCCATTTTCTGTGACATGACATTCTGTCGTGTGATGATTTAATGTTTGCTGAACGGGTCGTTGCTGAAAATAAGAATTTGTTCTCAATCGAGCGACCTCGTCAAAATAAAGGTCAAATGAAATAAAAATAATAATTGCCCATCAAATATTATCAAGTTCAGCAAGATTGGAAGAAGAGCGTCTGTGAACGTCACCTGTCAAGTCTTCAAATTTATTTTCAGTCGGAACAAGGTCTGGACTTTGACTGGACCATTTTAAAACAGAAACATGCTCCACACCAAACTGTTGCATTCATAATTCTGGCTGTATGTTAAAGCTCCTGGTCCCGTTGTATGGTACACTAGACAGATTAGATCACATAGTAGATAGGTTACTTCTGAAGAGCATAGGCTGGACTGGGTTTTATTTAGGGGTTTCAGAGGGAAAGGGACAAAAAACAGGGATCAGAATGTTATTAATCAAGAAATTTTCAAAACTATTCCTCCCTTTCCCTCCCCAACTGCCACTACTTCGAGTTGGTCTGTTTGTTACATTGAAGATACATTCAAGTCTGCAGTTGTAATGTGACAACATGGGAAAAAATGTGTGTGTGTGCGTGTGTGTGTGTGTGTGTGGTGGGGGAGGGTACTCTTGCAAAACCGAAGAAGGTTTTGTTCTTACAGATAATTAGGTGACAAATGAAACGACATCTCCGTTTGAACCCTCACTCAGGGTTGTCGTCATGGTGGCTGCAGGCGGTATGGAGAAAGACTTTCGTCTGTCACTGTTCAAAGTTGAGAAGTTTTTATTGAACGCAGCATGAGGCCAGATGTGATTTTGTAATCAGGAACAGCTAATATCTGATCCACAGACTTCTGAACCAGCCGCAGGATTATATGAGAGAGAGAGAGACGTCAAAATGGAAATCTTCCAATCCAAGTCTTTTTCTGCAAAGACATTCTCCAGCTATGACGTAACACGCAAGCGTGACTTCTGTCTCCTGAACACGAAGCAATGGCACTTCACTGGATCCACAGAAGAAGACGGAAGGACATCCCATAAGGCAAGACATCCCAATACAGGCGAGACAGCTCTCATCCTGGAAACCCTAACCCATCGTGTTCAAGACGTACATTCCTTGCTTCTTACTCCATATGGATGTATACTGACAAATAATCCTGTACTGTGAGAAGTCTTTCAACAGTTTCGCAGAGGGGGATTTGCGGAGATGATGGATGCTCATGGCCTTTTCTTGGCAGATTTGCCAACGTGGGTGTGAGAACGCGAGCAATGCATCTGCTGTTTGTCTCTGGTCAGTGGAACATTCGGGTCAGGCCTACAGAGAAACATCGTTCCCTCTGCAGTCTTCAAACAGAGAGCGAGCTGTTTCTCCTTTCCGTTACTCATGCATTTGCTTTGTCTGTCCTATAGACTCCCCCAACCCGCCTGCAGGAATGTGCTAAACAGTCCCTCTGGTCAACGGTGTGCACATATTCGAGATCAGGGCTAATCAGTGGCCAGTCCCCTGGGGGTTATGTAATCGCTGTTCAACTTCAAAAACAAAAAGATTAAATGAAGTTTCTATTTATAGCATCAGGAAAAGTTCTTTTACGTTCCTTCGGGGGACACTCTTCAGGTGGACGTGCATGGTTGCCTCAAGAGATCGATGTCAGCACTTTGGTGGTCTTTCTAATCAGCTATTCCAAATGGAGGAAAAAGTTGAGACATGAAAACAGACAAGAACACTGTCTCACTCTACCTCAGATGTGTTTTTCATGCACTTATTGTCTGCTCTAATGACAGAAAAAGGAGAACAATGGCCTGGAACATCATCCTCTCGTCTCATCCCTCTAAGTGAAGCACTCTTAAATGTCCTTACCCCTCGCTCTGCAGCTGTGCGTCTTCACGGCTGATCAAGATTCCCCCACTTTGAAGCGTCTCCGTCCCCTTATGTGCTCATGTTCCAGCCGTTCCCTTCGCAGAACATGTTCTTCTGGCAGGTTTGACACAGAACTCCACCGTTCTGCTGCTGACAGCGTCTCACAGTGCATCCAACTTCCTCCCCTCCTCCTCCTCCTCTTCCTCCTCCTGCTCTTCCTCCAGATCCACTCCCTTCTCTTTGCTCCATAAACTTCCTAAGGCAAACAGGCTGCGATCTTGTCAAACGCATGTCGCCGTCTGAATCCGTGGAGTCACGGAAGAAGGCGCGGGTGTGAATCACACGAGAATCGTAGAGAAATAAAGAGGGAAACCAGATATGAGAACAATGGTTTGGAACACGGTGACCTGTGTGGCTCTAATGTGCATTTATAACGTTTACCTCAAGGTGGCGCCATGACTCATTATTATCTGTCACATCATCACATTTCTTAAATAATGGCCTTATATATATATACTTAAAAAAAAGAAGAAGAAACACCCTAAACTATTTAAAATAATTATTGTAAACTTCTTCTGAAGGACTGACTGAAATGTTTGACACTTATCGTGAACATAAAAATCCATCCATCCATTTTCTAACACCCTTGTCCGTAGTGGCCAGTCTGTTGCCATTTACTCAATGCGCTCACATCTCACATTTAAAGTTGCAGTATGTCACTTTTACAAAAACATGTTCCTAGCAAATTTGTTAAAAACGGTCACAAATTACCTGTGAAAATAAAAGAAATCAAGCTGCTCCGCCTTTTCCCAGTGAGTTACCTTCTAAAATAAAATGCACCACCACTAACGGCAGACACACCATTCAAGAATGTCACCGCTGGCTAGCTGCACTAGCCTGAGCGTCCATGGCAGCTTTTGTTGTAGCGAACCATTCAGCTTTAGATGATTGACAGCGCTAAGACCCTCCTCCTGGCTCTGATTGGCTGTTTCTGACAGCAGTGTATTTTGTGCAAATGACAGAGAAGCCAGATGAGCTTGATTTTTTTTTTCACTGGTTATCTGATCATTTTAACAAATATGTGAAAAAAAAGAGAAAAAAAAATCTCAAAAATTACATAGTGCAACTTGTATACGCAGCTTTGATTGTGTGTGTTTTTTCTGTGACTCTTTTTGAATCATGAGCTGGTCTTTTCAGATTTCTGTTCACGCTCAGCCTAATACTGCTGGCGATCTCTTCCTGTTAAAAGGGAGTGCTTCCTTTCCACTGTCTCCACATGCCTCATCAGGATGAGCGATGACAGCAAAATTAACCACTGAAGGCGTTCCAGATCTTTTCTTTTCCACTAATTAACACAATGACACATTGGGTGTGTTGCATTGCAATTTGGTCAGAATTGGACAATATGAAACTGAATGTGACTGACTATGAACTAAGTTAAATCTGAGACAAATTCAGTCTTTCAAAGAGGAAGATGGCATGGAGACCATTATGTGGCGACAAATGTTTAGGAGCAACGCTGCTTTGTGAAAATTTGCTCACTTTTGTAGATTACATCATGGAGCTTGCATGTTTAGAAAATACAGAAAACCAAGCCAAGGACAAACTGATCTTGTGCTCCACAACGTTTTGGCTGAAAACTGTTCATAATCCTGTCCGAGAAACGGTGGACAAACTAAATGGAGCTCTCGTTTGAGTGTGAAATCTAACTTGCAGACCAACAAAGAGCCCACGGATCAGAAAAAAAAAGACATTTGGAGCATTTATTTTAATGAAGAAGGTAGCTTATTCAGCAGAACTTGGCTTGCTATGACAGAAACGCCTGGTCTGAGTGGTCTTGTACTTCCAAACCTGACATACACAGGGGGGTTTTGCAAAACGAGATATGTTTTAAACAAGATTTTCTGAGTGTCAACACAATCCCAAAGAACATTAGTTTTTTCCTGTGGTTTGGAAGTAGTAGACCTGTTCTGCTGTACTATATGATTGCGTAAAATAATACATCGTTCGATGTAATTATTCACTTTGCTTCCTGATAAATGGTGAAACGTAGCTTATTCGCGTTTGTGCAAATTATTTTAAATTATACTAGAAATTTCACTTTTAGATATTTTTCTCATTGTCAGCATATCAAGAAAACAAAGAAAAAGTTGAACAAAACATTTTAGATGAAAATGTTTAAAGCAGAAAATAGATGAGAGCACAACATCAAATATTTAAACTCTACAAGACATGTTGGTCTCCAGTAGAACTGAGGGCTTTTTGCAAATATGAGACAATAAAAATGCAGCCAACAGAAAGTCAGTGCAGTAAGCACTTTAACATGCCCACTCTGCCCCACTATTGCTACAAGACGAGCAGTGGATATTGTTTGTGTACAACAAAGGAGCAACTGATCTAAATGTAGTTATGACTTGTTTTTTTTTTCAATCTGGAAAGCGGGGCTCAGTTTTTGTAAAAAGTGTCAACTGTAATGTCTGATTTTAGCTTTTTAAAAGGGCGACTTGGCACACCACTATGGGCGCCATTCCATCTGGGGGTGGCACAAGAACTCAAAGGCCAAGAATCAGGGGATTTGTCAGGTGGACCCCAGACACAATTTTCATTGGTTATTTGCATGTACAGATGATAGGGAGGTTAGTATGTGATAAACAATCTTTGATTCGATGCTAGCCTAAAAGGCTGTTTTTGTCTTTGAATCAGATCAAATTTGATAACTTTTGTTCACCATCTAACATACAAAGCTGAACTTTAGAGTGAAGTATGCTATTTGTGAAAAGGTGTACGGAAACGGCAATGTACTGTCAAGTATAGAGAGATCAAACAGTCTCAAATATTCCGCATTGATTATTTGTCATTGAATTATGTGGATTTATTAGGCTTTGTCTTCTGAAGACAAAAAAAATTGATTATTTAAAAAAAAAAAAAAAAAGCTTCTCCGGTCCTTCTTATGAACCGATTTTCATGCAGGGTCTCAAGAAAAATGGATGTTTATACGGAAAAAAACACTGGGTCAGATTGTGTCCAAACAGAATGGGTCTTTATTCAGGAAGTGAAAGAAAAGAAGATTGTAATCAACACCCCATTTAAATACAAAACCAACAAAAATAAAAATAACCATGATATTCATCTTGCATATCAAAGAACCATTCAGTAATAATCGCAATCCAAACACCTTATAGACCGCTTTGTGAATCTATACACAAACTTTTGATTTAGAAATTAGTCACTTTACCAGTAAAATTACAAATATTTAGCTTTAAAAATAATCAAAAACTCAAAAATATCTCAGCAGTTAGCATCTCAAATATATTATGTGTCCACATAAAAATACAAATAAACCTCCACAAAAACAAAAACATTTAAATATGACGAATTCTTCCAAAAAAAACAAAAAAACAAAAAACAAATAAAAAACAAAACAAACAAGAAACGAAAAAAAAACCTGCTATACCGTTAAATGAAAAATAAAAACGCAGGACAAAACAAGATGAAAGGAAATAGAAATACGCATGAAAAAGTCTCTCCTTTTGTTAGCAAAACACTATTCAAAATAACTACAATCATTTACATCAGTACAAAGATATCTGGATTTAAAAATACTCGCAATGAAAAAACGGGGTTCGTTTTTCTGACGGTAAAAAATGACACTGTGGATCAGAAATCTGCAAAATATGCAATGAAAAAAATAAATCTGCATTTTAAAAAGGTCTACACTGTAGTTCTTACTTTTATACAAACATTAGAAACAGTATTGCACGTCACAACACAGAGTCGAGGTTAGTCGGCCTTTCAAAATGTGTTATATTCAAGTTTCAGAGCATCGACGAGGACAGGCAGCCGAGGCCTCGATGCAACGGGGGCCGGGGGAAGGAAGGAAGGAACGCAGGAAGGAAGGAAGTGGGGATCTGGAGGGGGGCGAGAATGTCAAGTGTCTTCCCAGATTTAAAGAAAACCTTCATGTTTCCTTCCTTCAAACAACATGTGCCTCGCGTTATCAAAATAAGAATCACCTGCGTATCAAAAACGTCTGATGGCGTTGCTAATGAAATGATTCCTCTGCAACCTTCGGGGCATAATTCATTGGTTGGGGGGAAACAAATTGTCATATTAGTCCTATTTAAATAGAAAAATACAATCAAAATCAAAAAAATCTTTTTTTGTTGTTTTTTTTTCTCGTCTACAAAAATAGTGAAATAAATACGCTTTTACAAAAACAAAGGGACAAAACGAGGACACGTACAGGACAAGCGAACAGTGTTTCAACGTAGAAAAAAAAAAGGAAAAGGAACTGCACGAAAACAGTTACGAGTCAAGTGTTACAGGTGACGATATTCACACTTCATCGGGGCAACTCGAGGGAGGGAGACGGGTCGAGATCGTTTCCTTCGCTTCACACTTTGTTTTTTTTTTTCCGGACTCCCGCTCCTCTGAACAAGCAAATTCCACTAAAATATATTATTTAAAACAAATCTGGGATTCTGGCTCTACTCACAGAGAACATAGATAACTTAAGACCACTGCATCACGCTACATCTTAAATAAGCAATTGTGGGGAAAAATAACATTTAATAAATCATCTTTACAGTTATAATAAATAGGCGGAGTCCACGTTTGCACTGAAATCATTAGTTGGGGGGAGTGAATAGAAAAGTAGTGCATAATAATAATAATATTATCAAAAAACATCTCAAAGAGCCAGTGAAGGGTAAGTAATTGTCGACACAAACAGTTTAAATTATATGAACCAGCTATAATAAGAATATATACGTTTGACTTTCCGTCCCGTTGAGGTTTTGTAACAGCACACACTTGACTAACACTGAAGACCACACTTTTGGGGGGCGTGGGGACGGGTTGGGGTTCGGGCGGGGACAGGACGGACACCAAAATCAAGATGACACAGGAGCGACACACATGTACGGTTACTGAGTGGACGGCCGGGGCGGGGTGGCCGTCCAGACAGAAAAGATTGTCCCTAAACGGTTTCGTCGAAACGTCTTTCGAGGGGTCGACAGAAACGAGTAGAAACGAACGATTCACTTAAAAAACAAAAAGGGTTTATTTTTTTTATTTTTATTAAAGTCATCGTCCTCGCTGTAAGAGCGCAGGGCAGGGAGATGATTTGTCATCAGGTTTTCTTAAAACTGCGGCACTTTAGTCGCATGGCGTGGAGCTGTGACTGTTACATCACAAAACACAAAACGTACAGAGCTCTGCAAACACATTCACACACCCAATATATACTTAAATTTAAAAAGAAGAACATTTCATTCGTGTTACGACCACACACTTCCACGTATTCGTTTGGGATTTTATGTGACAGACCAACACAAAGCAGAGCATGACTGTGGGGTGGAAGGACGACGCTACACAGTTGCAATTTTTTGGGGGGGGAAAAAAAAAGGTCACCAGAAATCAGTGGACTTCAGATGACTCTAAACATTGAGCCAGAAATTCACGTTCACATCTACTCTCCATCTCAACAGAACGGCCGTCTTTATTTCTCTAAAGAAATGTCAGACTCTAGATCTGCCCGGGTAATTTTCCTCCGTTTCCATTTCCATCGGTCTATAACGCATCAATGGTGGTTGTAGTGAGAAACATGTCCAAGGGGTATGAGTACTTTTGCTTAATAATCTCACTCTTTTGTTTGCATCTGTTCCTGCCAGAGAGCTGCAGACCCAGATCACTTGGGGACCGTTCAGAGGTCCGACCGCGGGAAAAGCGAAGGCATGTTGTTGAATTCATCTCTATGTAACGTGTTGATAACTAAACTAGAGCCTCAGCCTACAGTAAGAACAATCACACAGCACATGGACAACACAAACCACTGAACACCACTCTGCTTTTGAGATTTTTTTTTTTCATCTACACAAGGCGCCATGTCACCAAAGGATGGCGTCTACTAAGTCTACATTAGAACTGATATCACTTGTTTTTGTATTGATAGTATGTAAACAGATCAAACAACAGAGAAACATCGATGCATGCAAGTTTATGTACGTTTTTTTTCTTCTTCTTCTTCTTCTTCCCTAACTTCATCTTACTTCTTTTTTTTTTTCTTTTCCTCGTCATTTAGGAATCTGCAGTTGATGATCATGCTACCCAGTACAGAATTTCAGCTTTTGAAAATAGGATTTCAGTGATCATCTGTTTTGGTTTACTATATCTTTCTCACATCTATCCTGCATGCTACTGCTGCAGCTACAAGCCTATTGTGGTTTGCATGCACTCTTACTCTTTCTGTGGCGCCGTTAAGTGGTTGAGTGCATACTGCATTTCATTTTACATGATTCGGGTTTAAATATAACACCAACATATCTATTCATATATATTTATATATAGCAGCAAAGCTTCTAAAATAGCTTTTTTTTTCTTCTTAAGTATAAATGTTAGCAGAAAACCGGATTTTGTGTTTTGAGGTATCACTCTACAAGTTAGAATGAGCGCAAAAAAATAACCTTTTCTTCTTCTGGTTTTTTTTCTCCTAGCAATAAACTCTAAAAAGTGAAAAAAAACAAAAACAAAAAAAACAAACAAAAAGAAAACAAAAAGAAAAAACAACAAGAGAGCCCGTGGCGGCATTAGAAAGTAACGCTTGTTTCCGCGTCAGACAGCGTGTCGGTTTTGAGCTTCCTATCGTTTTTTTTGCTACCTTTGGTTAAATCACCTGCGGCACGTGTTGACGTTAGAGAATAGTCTTTTTGTTTAGTTTCACCCCCCCCCCCCCCCCCCAGAAACAAGTGTGCACTGAACGCACTGTGTGGTTGCTAGCAGCAGACAGACAGACAGACGAGCTGCCCCCATGCAAAAAACATTCCTGTATCTACTTTAAATCTCACATACAAAAATAATAATAGTAATCATAATCATAATAATAATAAAGAGCTACAAAAATTAATCTCTTTTTTGTTTCTTTTAAATCTCCACTTAGAAAAAGATGAAAGTACCACAAAAGAGTTGTAGAGTTATCAGAGCCTGAGATGTGAGGGGGGTTTTGGTGAAAAACTGAGGCTTGCGGTGTTTGGCTGCTACAAAAGATATAGCGCTATATATAGTATATATTGTATAGTGTTGCGCACTTGATTATACTGATAGCTTAGTTTAGCAGGAGAGGTGTTTCCCTTAACTCTGACTGTCACCGTTGGATGTGGAGCCCCTGCCCCCCCCTCCCACTCTCCCTCCCTCCCCCCTGACCCCTGTTAGTTCCAGCGGAAGTGGATCTGGCGCGGGCGGTCGGCGCCCTCCTTCACCAGGGGCTTGTGAAACTCTCGCCCTGCGCGGGAGTGGATGTTGGCCCAGCAGAACTCGCAGTAGTACTGGAGACAGGTGACATTAGCGCAGAAGAAGGGAGCGAATTTCCCGCCGCAGCGAGCGCCCTGGCACTCGTCACACAGCTGGTCGTCCAGGACGTAGGGCTTCACCTCCACCTGCGTTTGCAACGAGAAATTGTGTGAATGTCACATGTTAAATGACTAGGCGTGTGGGAGTTGTCAATAAAACAAACTGTACCCGCTTATCGATGTCTCCGTGCTGCAGCTGGACGAATCTTGCACTGATGGCAGCGATGTAACTCTGCTGATTGGAGAAGGCCACCCGCCCCGCCCCCTTAGGGTACTTGAGCTCTGGATCTGTGTCGATTCCTGCGTAGCACACTCCACCGTAGAGGCGGTCCATGATCATGGCCAGCTCAACTAAACAAAGGCCGAGAATTTTAATGAAGGAAAGTTAACATGACATAATGGCAGCTGTGGGCACAGCTAGCTAAAATGTTAGTTTTGCTAACCCTAAAACACTAGTCATAAACATTATTTACATGCCAACACAGTATTTAGTAGAAGCTAATGCTAAAGTGCTAACTTCAACAGAAATTATATGATGTCAGCCCTTGAAATGCTACAAAGGCAAGCATACAAGTTGAGTTGAGGAAATGAGAACTGAGGAAAAAGAACTATAGGGTACGTACTTGCTCTCAGGGGACGAGGGACTCCTCCCACAAAGATGGTTTTACGGGGATCGAGAGGCTGTGACCCGTCCATCACAAAGTCACTGTCGCTCAGGTTCCATGGTCGGATTTGCACCTAGAGTCAAACACAATGCAAGACTGACTCACGTCTCTTGATAAGACGTGAAACGTCGACGCCTTTTTGATGCTGCTGCACGAGGAACTCACTGGTTTGTCCTTGATGGTGGGGCTGGAAACACACAGGTAGAGCTTCCCATCCTCCTCCATGCACGCTTCAATCAGGGCCTGCACCGAGGTCTCCTCCTGGAACAGCAGGAAGGCGTATCCTTGGACAAACACACACACACACACACACCACACACACACACACACACACACACACACACACACACACACACACACACACACACACACACACACACACACACACACACACACACACATATACATAAGGTCTTAATGTGGATTCAGTACAAAAACATCACTTTGCGCAACCAACATTTAATCTTCTCCCTTAGCATTTCACCAGAGCGGATCATGCAGAAAGGGATATGTGAGTCTTCCTCTTTTGAGAAATCTGTACCTGATGAGCCGCTTCTGTGTTCAGTTGCTCAAATGTTTTGGCTCGTTATCTTGGTGGGTTCGGTCCAGCCTTTTCTGTCAGCTGTTCTTAAAATGATCCAGGATTAGTTGAACACGTTGGCCTAAATGCGTTGTAATGTTCCGATTGACTTAAAAAATTGCTGTTTGTGATACACCAAAACTCATAATTACTTAAAAAATGTACATCTTTTGTTCTATTTCTCATCCATGGAGCTCGAAGCTATTTGTGGGAATGTCAGGGCAACTAACTGGTTTGCATTGGATATTTCCTGATTTCTGAACATCTCTACAATATTTCAACGCAGAGCATCTCCATTATGACCAACATTATAATCATGATTATTTTGGTCAACGATGATTTGAATGAGTTTAATGACTTAATTTATCACACGTGAATAACAATAAATGGCCCTGAAACACAACATTTCCCCTGATTCAAGAATTTAAAAAAGAAGACCTGTATGGGAGGACTAAGCCTCCCATAAAATAACAAATATTTATCCATATCCAGGCTAATCGAGTCAAGAGTCAAACACAATGCAAGATCAAGCATCTCTCAGCCATGTTTATTGAGCTATATTTTATTATTATTATTATTGTTTTTTTAAAGGATACTGAAAACAGGAAGACTATTTATGCTATGAATTAATGAATGGAAAAGGGGTATGATTAGATAAGTTAAACTTCATCAAACTCCTTTTCAGACTCACATTCACGGAATAAGTGGTGTATTTACATGCATTTGAGTATGTAAATTATTATTATTATTATGTTTTGTTGGTGAAATGTCTGACTGAAATAAATGATCATCATTGTCAAAATAAATGGGTCCAGCTTCCAGACAATGACATCACCTGCTATTTTTTCCTAATTTGGATTAATGACTCTGGGTAATGGGTTTCTGTGTGATCATATTTACACCCTGGAGGGGAAAAACAACGTCATGGATTATTTACCAGAAATTGAAAATGACTGCTGGAGGTGAGGCTAAGCAGGGCGGATGATGGATGTTAGCGGATGCTAATAATTGTGACACCAGTGATTTTACTAAATCATTTCTTAATTTGGAATTTTCTCCCACTAAATAAAGATTTTACTTTAAGGATTTTTTTTTTTGGATGCCGACATTTATAGAAAATGGCTATGGAGGGAGTTAAATATCAGACGTGTTCATGTGTTTTGTCGATACCTTTAGGGGGAAAGTAGGATTTGCTCTCAGCTTTGTGTGGCCAGTCGACCACCAGGTGACCAAAGCGACGGAAGCTTGAGGTGATTTCATCTGAATCGACGTTTAGAAAGAAAAAAAAAAAAACAAATAGACAGATGTAAAAAGTGAAAAAAAAAAACCAATCGTGGATCCAGTCTAGTCATCCTCACCTTCGTCTATGTCAGGAGGCAAGCCCCCCACAAACACCTTACGAGAGAAGCGCTCGATGCGCTCCCCGTTTTGGTGGGGGTAGCAGTTGGGGGAGCCGAGGACACCCGGGACACCCTGGTTGCCGTGGCCGTCGTCGAGGAGATTGTCGTCGATCGGGAAGAGAGAGGAGCGGCCTGGCAAAGACGAACAGGAAGGTGAGACTGCAGCACGTCACAAGTGGACATTTGCAGGAAGCGTCCCGGCAGTGCTGCCTCTGAAAGGGAGCATCATTTCCTCCTCTTTACAGAGGGACAGATTAGAGAGTAAAGCGCTCTATAAAACAACCTGTCCACTTTCATCGCACTGCAACGTCGAGACAAAGCAGCAGCTTAAAGCGAGGATTATGTGCAGTTTCGTTTTTGGCAGATCTGTGACTGTGACACGCAATAATCTGGCCTCTGCACGGAGCCGCATGGCTGGACTGAAAAGCTGGGAACGAAATCATGTGACCTCCGAAGTGTTCAGTTTATTATCCGTCCTAATAAAAATAATTAAACTGATAACAGAAAAATCAGGTTTCTTCTAAAATGTCATTACCAGTTTTGCTAAAGGCAAACATATTCGATGTAATCTTTTATAATTATGTTGAAACTATTTGTGGCCTGAAAAAAAGAGAAGAAAAAAAAAGCTAAGTGGTTCGCCAACTGTGAATATACAAAAACGCAAAAAATCTAATTAACTTAACAAGTTAATTAATCCGCTGAATTACAAACGGAGGCAGCTCAGTGTTAGAAGTGTCCCAAACAAGGAAAGAATATACGAGGTTCTCTCAAAAGGTTTAAAAGTAATTTAATTTGGACTTAAAAAAAAAAAAGAACCAAACCTCAAGCACCCCAAAAAGTATTCACACCCCTTAAACTTTTTCCATTTTGTCATGTTACAACCAGAAACCTGAAAGTACCTCACTGGGACATTATATGACCAACACAATAACAGCATATTTACATTATTCAGCCCCATTTACCATGATACCCCGAAATAAGATCCAGAAGGCCTGGGTGATTTTAGAGCACTAAAACATGGTCAGGAACAAAAGGCTTGAATACTTTAAGTCACAAAGTTGGCCTTGTGAACACAGAAGGTGTTAAAACCTGCAGCACCTGCCTTAACGACCGACTCACATTCAGCCGCATATGGCCAAAATGTTAGGCACACATGTCAGCGGTGAGGGCTGCACTGAACAACCTAAATGTAATTCTGCGGAACCGGGCTTGGTGGGTGACCTTTTACAGAGAAGGAAGAAACAAGCTCTCAAGAGCTCAAATTTTAAGGCTGTTTTCATGTTTTGAAAATCCAATCGGTAATCTAAAATGCCTGAAAAGACATTTTTAATCAACCAGACATTCCATGTCTGCGTCACTCACATCTTAAGAACTCAATGGTTACCAAGCAGTATCCCAAACATATTATTTATGTCAGGGTTACTGGTGTTGATGTTAATGCTTACGCTGAAGAAACGTAGCTTTACCTTTCTGCATCTCCTGATAACCAAAAAGCAACAGTTTTAAACTGTATTTGACATTTTGACATGTACATCACAGAAGCTTATCTCTGATGTACTGTAGGGAAAGACTACAGTTTCCATTATTGCCTCAAACCTTTTGAGACAGAAACTAATAACACAACTTTGAAGCACTGGAGATTGAGTAAAAACTCATACATTTTTTATCATATTAAATTTTTTCTATTTTATCATTTCAAAAACAACTGCGTATGTTTTTTTTTTTAAACTGGAGGCCATTTTCCTCCTTGTTTAACGCATGTTTATATAAAAAGCTAAGCTGATTGATCTATGTAAAGACACCTAAACAACAATATAAAGTTCAGATCCAATATTTACAACTAATGGAAAGAGAATAACGGTCAAGACCAGATCTGGAAACCAATTGTTATCATTCTGATTTGTTAAGTAAAATATATATGTATATATTTTTTTTATAGCAAAAAGGGGAAAAAAAGGAATTTCTTCCTCAAAACAAATAAAAACCCCCAACATGTTCTAAAACCTAAAATCCAAAATACAGCGAGTTCTCAAAGCCCATTTAAAGTAAGCAGGAAAACATGCCACAAGAGAACACAGACACATTGCAGTATTTACCTCGACGTCTCCCATAGCTTCTGGCTGCATGTAGAAAAGTACAAGAGGGCAAGGTTCAGCTGTGCACACATTTTTCAAATGGTATTTTGTGACTTTAGACTTTAATCTGCAATTATTTCATAACTTTGTCCAACTACAAATCAACTAACTTGAGTAATTCATTAACAGAATAGAATGGCCTGCCTAAAAATGAACCATCTGCAGTGTCTCAAGAACATTCAGACTGCAGAAGAACGAGAGAGAGCAAAACAATGTCTGCTGTGAAATATGCCGTGTATGTTGGCAGCACTTTAGAAATCTCAGAGTTGCGTAAAGAAGCTTAATTTTCTAGACTAGGGGTATCAAACTCATTTTCGTTTTGGGCCAAAACAAGATCATGAATGCTCTTAAAGGGCCAGTTGTGCCAGAATGTATCGATAAAACCTGTTCAGAATCTATTAAAATATCATTGAATTCTTAAAATTAAATAATATTATTAAATATCTCTTCAGTCCTTCCAGGATTTTGTTTTTTGTTTTGCAATAAAGATCAAAGTGTTTGTGGTACTAATTTGGATTTATTATTATCATTATTTTTTTTCTGCAATAAACTCTCAAAGTGTGAGCACACTTAGTGTTTAATCTAGAACCCAGAGGGCCACACAAGAAGCGGTGGTGGGCCGGATTTGGCCCACGGGCCTCGAGTTTGAAACGTGTGTTCTAGACGATCCAAACGGGCTTGCGATCAGAAATTGGCCACAAAAAAACAAAAAACAACAATTTAGACTTTTTTTCTTATACTTAGAACAAATGAAAACAAAATCATTTAGATTTTTTTTTTAATTAAAAGCCATGCATACGAGTCTGTCCCCATAACTAGACATAACAATTTAGATCAGGATCTGAGAGCATCAATACTAAAGCATCTATAGTATGTTGCCCTTAAAAGTGTGGCAGCATTTTAAAATAGAAAGCCTCGAAGAGTTACACGAGGAGCCCTGCAGGTGGTGAAGTGTGAGTCTAATGAGGTCAAAGAGTAACAGGGGATGCGGCGAGGGGAGCCGGAGAAAGAGGGAGACGACGCTTCCAGATAATTACCATTGAGCATGAGAAGGCCGTCGGCCCCGGGGTTAGGGCAGCCCACACGGCCTGACATGAGAAACACACACGTTATGTTACAAGCTCAGACACACACCACAGAAATACAAATACAGATACCAACGGGAGGGGGGGAAGCGGCGGAGGGAGAGGACAGGATGAGGCCGACGCATTTACATGGCAACTGATGCAGAAACGGATAAACGACAAACAGGGAGAGCACAGCTGTGTGCTGCAGGCAAAAATGAGACAAACGTTGATAAAAAAAAAAGAGGGCATTTATGACATTTTTTTCACTAATTACATTGTTTTTTATTTACATTTCTTTTTAGAACAGGTGAACCTTCGCTTTTTTTAAAAGCTGGCTTCATGCTGCAAATACTGGTATTCACTTAATGATCCGTCTTATTTATGGTTTCGGTTGTGTGTGGTTTCTACTTCCTTTTGATTTATTGTTTTTGGTTTTGTGTCTTATTTAGAACATTTAAAATTTCTTCCTGTTCTCGTGTGGAGTGTCCTGTTTCTATGAAGTTTACAAGTCTTTGAGAGAGGGTACTTGCAATATTATGGCATTATGATCATATTACGTGGAAATGGTTTCAAAACGACAATATTATCATTTATCGCGATCAGTTTTGGGACGACTTATCGTCCAGCAAAACGTGTTATAGCCACAGGCCTAAATGGCATTTTATGCAGTACCAGCATACAGAGCAGGATGTTTTAGTAGTATTTAATATTAAAATGGTGTCGAATTACAGTCAGGCATGCAGTGTCTCATTGTAGTATCCTCTCACTGAGTATTTGTCTTCAGCATCCCTTCGTCAATACTTGGTTGAGTCGCCTTTTCTCTGCAGTCTCATCTTTTGGTCTTTTGGGAGTTTGCAAAGCCACAGTATGGAATTTTATACACGTTCTTCTTGTATACCACACTGAGCAGTCAGTATGTCTGAAAAGGCGCTATATAAGTTAGTTTACTCTAACCCTAGGAATTTTGAGGAACAGTTTACACTAAACTACACACACAGCATGTGTCTGAAGACAAATGGTTCAAGTGCATCAGCGTAAGGACGGCTCTGGATAAAAATGCACAACGGTGCTTTTCAGATTTTCTTTTGTAAAAGAAAAAAAGAAAAAGAAAAGAAAACCATAATCATAATTTTTATCCCACTTCATAGTTTTGTTGTACTGCACCACATAAAATCCTGCTAAAATCTGAGTTTCTGCAGGTTTCACCTACTCAATTTTAATTATATATATATATATATATATATACAAATAGTCCTGTCATGACAAAACATAAGACCTGTGATTGACATATTTAAACCCTACTTACATTTTTACTGAATTTAAGACAGTTTAAGGCCTTAATTTTAATATTTTTAAGAGTTTTTATGGCTTTGCGGATTTCCTGAGAATTCAGAGATTTCTAGTTGTGTCATGTGACGAATGTTGTGAGGAATTTGCCCCAACCACGCCACTTTTTAAGTTACCTAATCGTCTTTAGGTTACCGTTAGCGCTGTGTCATCTGCACAGCTATTTGCAAGTGAATGCTGAGAATTTGAAGATGTGACTTCTGAACCCTCTTCTTTAGGTCGTCTGACCTGTACTGACCAGCTGAAACTGCATTTGCAGACAATGACAGGAATACAAGGCAGAGGACACTTTGGCGTGGTTGTGCCAAAGCTCCAGCACAGGAGCTGCAGTCTGCAGATGAGTCATGGTGGAGCAGATAATGGGCTCGTCTGCGTTTTATTTTTGTTTGCCTACCAAAACGGAACCAAAATCTGAAATGTTTCATTCGAGAGATAAAAAAAAAGCCTTGATAGCTTAAAAAGTTCTTAGCTTCTTATGCTAACAAGCTCATAAAAACTGATAATTTTACCATGTGCTCTTATATTTAAAAGCTGTTAAGCATAATAAAGTGGTAATGCTGTAAATAGCCTGTCAGGGCCTTGTAAGCCGTCGTCCCTCTCATCTCCCCTCTTGGCTGTCATAAACAGTGTGCGGAAGGGTGATCTCATCTAAAATTAGCCCGCCCCCCTCCCGTCTTCTTTTTTGCTCTGCACACTGGTCCATGTCCTGTCCATCTGTTCAAGCAGAAACCCCCCTCTACCCAGAAAATAAATAAATAAATAAATATACAGCTCATGGAAGAAGAGCACAGGTGGATTGCTAATAAAATGAACAGGAATGACGGCGCTTATTGCTTGTCCACAAACAAATCAGTAACCAAAGCAGACGTGCCTGCTTGTGCCACCGGTGTTCTTCCTCTGTTCTTTCAATATTGTAAAGTGAGAGCGTATATGGCTCGCGCGGCTGTAAATGAGCCACTGGCAGGCGGTGGCGGAGACGGAGGCAGAGGAGGAGGAGGAGGAAGAGGAGGAAGGCGCGTGGGGTGCAGTCATCCGACACTGCTACTCTGATGTTCAGCAGCTGAGCGCCAGAGGCCGGGACAGTGTCACACTCTCTGCCTGTCGCTGTCAAACCATGAGAAATAATTCAGAAGAAGCCCAGCGCTCCTTCACAATCTGTTGAATTTTCAAAGGCTGGTTTCTCTTCTCACTCTTACTGATGCACAAAAACCCCCAAAACAAAACAGCAGGCCGGTTCTGCTAGCCAGGTTAAGCCAACCACTAGACCAGAGCTTTAAGGGTCAGTTGAACGTGCAGCTGGTGGCACCGGCATTAAGCTCTCAGCGGGGAGGTAAATAAGCTTGCGTGTGGAAAAAAACAACATGTCTGTGGGAGAAACAGGCTCGTCGGCTCCTGGAGACGATTCCCCGAGCGAGATTGCCTTCCTCTGACCTCCAAACACGAGGGGCGGAGACCAAAAGAGAAAAGGCCACCTCACCTTTTATCGGATCCTGCTCCACTCGCATGATGTTGATCAGGGAGCTCTCCAGGGAGTGCATGTTCAGGCTGTCGTACATTCTGGAGCGGTCCTGGAAAAGTAAAAGAAAAAAAAAAATGGGTGGGATGTTTGTGCCAGAAATAAAGGAAGCACACACCATGATGCATCTGTAAATCTATCACAGATTTGTGATTTTGGCTCGTGAGTATTAAAGCCTCTGAAACGTGGCTATTGGGCTTAACATGCAGGGGACCATAGATTCAGATCAACATTCTTTCCATATTTATTCAATCAGAGGGCCTGGAGGTAAGCCAGTGAGGGGCTGGTCAACTATAAGGAACTGAGTTGTATACAATTAGATAGTAAAGAAATGCGAACGCTTGGAATCCTTTTATTTCCTAAATTGCATCAGTTTGTCAAACGAAACTGAAAGCATTCAAAGGACATTCATACTTCTGCAAGGTTCTGCATGTGAAAGTCGTCACAAGGCAAGGTTGAAATAAGATTAGTTTTATCTCATTCAGTATAAATGAATGACTAAAACATCATTTTATGAACCCGTGAAAGTACAAAGTACAAGAATGAAATGGCATCCTTGGAAATTTCTCTGTGGTTTTCAGTCTCAGAAAAAAGACGAATCCGCCCTTTACTCCTGCTAACGTGTCAGAAATGCGAGCAGAGACACCCAGCATGTTCGAACACGAAGATAAAGCAATATCTTTATTGGAAGAAATATTTATACTTCAAAATTTGATTGAACCGATTTATTTGTAGCAAAACTTGATTCTGTTATTGACGATCAATTTTAGGCCGAACTAAATGTGGTTGGGGAATGATTCTGACCTCTGACACCGAGAGCAGAGGCGACTCCCTCGCTCGCTCGCTCTCTCTCTCTCTTACCGTCGTCAGTCTGAATCCCATGTGACTGTGGAAAGGTGACGCCGCATAGATGCGCTCTGTCAGCGACTGCCAAACGTTAAACAGAAAAGGAAGGAAGAAAGGAAGGAAAAGACTTGGAATCTGAAAAATTTCTGGGTCTGACACTGTTTATGGAAATTTATCCATGAAGTCAGGCCTGCTTCCTGGAATGGAAGCGTTGTTCTTCTTGGCACCGATGCAACTAAAAATACAAACTCATAGCAACAACTTGGCGGCAACCTCATTCAGGCTGATATCATTAGTTGAGTTTGAATGAGTCATATAACCCAGTTAATGAACGTAGGAAAAACTAAGTGTCTGATGAGGCCTCAGCAAGTCTAAATTATTAAACAAACCCTTTCGAAGAGAAGAAATGGGACACTTTGGTTCAGCATTCAGATGTAACGTTGTGACTTTCTCTCAGCAGTTTCTGCCCGAATGGCTTCATGGGGGAATTTAACAAGAAAAACATCAGGTCTTCAGCTAAAGGACGGCTTGAGGGAGTCTGGAGAATGTCTGGACAACCGGATCCCGATACTGTCCAGAGTTTGCCTCCGAGAACAGACGACTGCACCCTGTTAATAACACAGCATGCAGAGCACACAATACTTCTTCCTCTAAGTTCCCTAATCAGTCGTCAGTCAAACCTGTCATCACGCTGGCTTCACTAGGCAAAAGGAAACACTCAGTTTGATATCTAGAGGCCGGTTCTTACTAAATTTGTTCCAGAATGCTTCTTGTTTAGGTGTTGTCAATTTAGCACTGCGGTGAATTTGAGAAAAGAAGCTTAGATTAGCTGTTTCGACGTGGTTCATTTGAGTCATTAGGCAAAACAAGTGAGACGAAAGTGCTTTACTGAAGAGGGTTTTACGTCCAAAATGATAGTTTTGGAAAATAAAGTGCATTTATTATTAGGAAAAAAAATGCAAATGGGAACAGGTGAATGGAAAGAGTTCATAATCGAATTTTCTCTCAGTAGCTTCTGGGAAAGAAAATTGATTGACATGGACAACTCCCACTTTTTTGTTCAGTAAGCACATCTTCATTTGCTATCTTTAATTGTGAAATTTACACACACATTGTGAATGAAAATTGGGAAATTAAAAAATACGAGAGACCTGTCCTGAACAGCCTGTTTCAGCAAAAGATCTAACATACCCGAGGTGTTAAATTAAACAACTTTTGCAAATTATGTCAGACTTGGCGAGGAACGAGACGACATGTTGGATCAGCATATTTCAGTCTGAGCCAACGCAGTGAAACCCAACGATTGATCGCATCTTTCCAGGCATGACAGGATACGCCAAACATCCACAAAGACAACAGACACTCCAAAAAGAGTCAATTTTCCTCTGAAGGATGTCGACTGCAGTTGCTGCTTAAACTTTCCTTTCGGCTTTCATTTGATTTGAGTTCAAACTACATTACAGCCATTATTATTCCCAAAAGGACAGACTGGTTTACAATTTGATGAAGGGATCAATTCACATTTTCCTAGTGAATGGAAACTCGGCTATTGTTTCCTCCGATATCCAATTTGAATGACTGAGTTTCCCTTCAGAAGCACAACGTTCAGGCACTAAGAGAACAAATTCACCGAAATCTTTAGAAACAAAGACGTGAATTAGTGATTCAGCTCTTCAGCGTGCCTTGAAATATTCTTCTCCTTTGAGCCTTTCCACAGTTTATTACATTAAAACCACAAACTTCAATGCATTTTGTCTCGTAGATCAACACCAAGTAGTACATAAAGTGTGAGGCGGGAGGAAACTGATGAATGGTTTTTATAGTAATTTCCAAATGAATATGTGAAAAGTTTGGTGTACATTTGTGTCCAGCTCCCTTGAGTCAATGGATTAAAACTCTGACATGTCTGCCTGTATGTCACTTCAAACAGAAGGCTCCCACCACCGTGTTCCTCACTGTCATTAAATTATAGATTTGTGAAAAAATGACTGACAGCTGTCAAAAAGAAAACGTCCTCCAGATTTAAAGTGACCTCCTGGCTCCTTCTCTGACTTCTCTGACTGATGGTTCATTATCGGTTTATGTCTTGATAGGCTGACAGCTGTACTCTACTCTTTTTGCTTTCAGATTAAGGATAGAACAGGGCTCTCTGTGACATGTTGTCGTAAAGCCTGACCCTGCTTGTTATTTTTTGATGTCGGCTGCGATCCTTGCTCTTCAAGATGCTATTCATGTCCTCCAGTAAACCGCCGAGACCTTCACAAGACACCTGGATTTATTCTGACATTAAGACAGCATTCACCAGCCCCATTTAGTCTGCTTTAATCGAACTCAAGTTCATTTGTCTAGGAAGTCTGGTTCGTTTGTGGAGGTGAAAATGTGAAATTAAACTGATGCTGACCAGAAAAGCAAACTCCGGTCCGCCTAAAAACTTCTGTCTCGCTTTGATTGAAGTGAACTCTAGTGCAGTTTTGTATACATATGTGAACACTAGTGGGTCTGAATCTGCTCTGAAAGCAGGAAGTGGATTATAGTGCAGGGCATTCTGGGTAAATGAACCAAAACAAAAACGCTCATCTAGTGCTAGCAGGAGAACTGCCTTGTGGTTATTTTCCAAACTGCTAAAACCTCACGCTACTTCGTTTTTTTTACATTTCGCAAAGAAGGAAGTTGCTCTCAGCGTCAACTTCAGAGGTTTTCATGCTGTTCCCTTTCGTGGCTCTTGGCGAAGCGCCACCACAGGTAAGGAGGGGAATCGTTTTACACAGTGCAGTGTGAAAGCGAACCGCACCAGCTCAACATGTAATAAATGTTTCAACTTTGGTTCCCAATCAAACCCAGTCTATTGGACTACCAGGGGTGAAAACATCCTAAATTACATGTTGACCTTTTGTGTTGGTCTGTGATATAAAAACCTGGAAAATGTATCGACTAAATGGGACATTTTAGAAGAGAACAGGAAAGACAAAAACTCAGCATCATGATTGGGTTAATACGCGCATCGACACGACCATAAACGAATTCGGTTTGACACAAATGCTGAAATCATGTGAACTCATACCTGCAGGGGCAACATGGTGTTGCTGTTGCTGTCTGTGCGAAACATGTTCTCCTCCATCCAGGACTTCGGCCCCAGCGACCCTCCGGAGCGTGGGAACTTGGGCGGGGCGATGACGTTGCTGGAGAAGGGCTTCTTCAGCGGCGAGGCGTGACTGACGGAGCCGGGCACACCCATGCCGCTGCCTCTGCGGTGGTCCCGGCCCCAAGACATGCCCCCACCTCCGCAGCCGCCGCCGCCGCCCCAGCCGTTACCCTGGTGGCTCCCCCATGGGGACGCTTTCATCATGGGCTGCGCCGGCAACAAGCAAGAAGTTAGATCAAATGCATAAATATGCCTCAAACAAGCAGTAAGTTTAATACTCGGTTTAATCCCATCCCTTATTTCCCCTCGTCAGCCACTGCCGAACTTTATCTGCTTCTGTAATGGGTGGGTAGATAAGAAGATTTAGAGCTTTAAGACTAATGCTAAGTATCCCGTGCCCTGCGACACCACCACTGGAACTTGCACACTCTCTCCACCTGGACCGAGAGTCTTCTGCTGAACCCTCTCAATCTTTGTTGGCAATGTCATGTGGAAATCCTATCCAGAGGCATTAGGCTTTGTTTATGACAAAGAGAGCCAAAAAGAGGAAAAATATAAGAGTGTGTTTTGCTCGAAAATTCAAATCGGCATTTCTGGTGTGTGCCACCCCGGCTGATAGTTGATAGGAATGAGTGGAAGTAAAGTTACTGTTTTTTTAAACAATCATTTTGGTAATTGGTCGTACTGACGATGACTTGGATTAAAAAATTTGCACATTATGCTGATATTTCAGTTTGCACAATATTGAAAATACATAAAATATGTAAATAATTAAATTGATTTTCTTAAAAGAGAAAATGAACATTTTATTGCCTTTAAATTAAAGGACAAAGAGTTCCTATTGTGAACGTTTGAACTTTGGGACGCATCTGCAGGTAAAAAAACACATCTAACATCAACATGTGTAAAGGCCTTTCTGCTTGACTTTAGAACATCGAAGGGCTGATCTGTTGACAATGTTTTTGATTAAGCAGTTAATAATTGGACAGCAAAAGGTGCTTAATTGGAGATTTTTATTAAAGAATTTGAACCAGGTAAAGAAAATACTATGCCACTGAGTTTGATATCTAGTGAGGTGGTGGAGGAGGAGTTCTGTGTAAGATATATTTACAAAGGTGTTTTTTTTATCTCTTAATTGCAAAATGTATGTATTTTTTGTACTGTTTTGGCTCAATTATTGTTCTGGGGCTGTTGTTTTGTTCAGCAAATTGCCTCTTTTTTTTGGTCTGTGTACTCCAGTTAACAATCGATTACTAAATTAGTTGACAATTATTTCAATTATTAAAATAGCTAATCAGAAGTATTCTGATTAATTGTTCCAGCCCTATGCAGGCCACAGCGTTTCTCAGGGCGAGAAATATTTAATATTAATAAATTAACAAGAGATGTTTTTTTTTTTTTTTTCACAAACTAGTGCTTCATCTTAAAAAAAATAAAATCTAATCATATGCCGGTCGCTTCGCGCTCAGAGCAGAACGGCAGGTCCTACAGAAGACGATAGAGACGACCTACGGATGAACAGTCTGCTCTGGCTCTGATCAGAGGGCGGAAATAGAAAAATCGGATCATTTTCCAATCAGTAAACCACAGCGTCCCCTAAGTGCTCACGGGTCACTCTGACAACAACAAGGCTGCGATGGTTTGAGTTGTTACTGAGGGAAGGCGACCAAAAGCTAACTTGCTGCAGTTTTCACAGCCAGTTCTGACATCTGAAGATGCAACCACTGAATATCGCTTTGATTTCACCAGACTGACAAAGTTAACCACTCCGAAGGAAGTTTGATGTGCTGTTGCAATAATACACAAAACTGGCTGCAGAAGAGTCAACTTCTGTCAAAAAACTTTAAAATTCTGGGAATAATTTCAAACATTAGAAAAATATTGGATATTTTGTGATATTGAAAAGTCACAAATTTGCAAGAAAAACTTTTTTTTCCCCAGGAGAATATTCATAAATCTACACCATAAAGTCAGAAGTTTGTTTTTTAAAAATAATAGATATACAAATAAGCAACAAAAAGTAACACAACTCCTAAGGTTTAAGTGGCAAATGCAGAAGATGTGCATCTATGCACTTTTCATAGTGGCTCCTTTTTCTGACCCAGAACGACATGTACAGGGTCCAGACTCATCATGAGCGTCTCAAACGGGATCCAGAATACACACCTGAGACAGTGAGGAGGGAGCTGAGTCTAAACCTGGGAAATATCCTTCTAATACCAGAGAAGAGTCTAGATCTAACACTTACACTTTGGAAAATATCCAGATACACATTTTCTAGATCTACTACGCCAATCTTTGAGGATGTCTAGGCATTCTTTGTTGAAAATGTCTGATTTTATAATATTAGTCAACTTTCTTGCTAATTTCTGACTTCACAATGTCACAAATATTCTGTTTTTGTAATATGAATTTATGACTTTTCAACTCATCAGAACATTCAACTTTATTCATGTGTAGATGTGAAATTAGTCTAAAAATTGTGGAGATTTTGGGTGGCTAATTATATGTTTTTCATTTATCTCCAATCACCCTGACACTATTGTATAAAAGAGGTATTGCAACAATCTTGTTATTGCTTTTTTTGTTGTTTTTTTTCTTATAGATTCCTTTCGCATAACCAAGAGGATTTTCCTTTATCAGTACTGTAGACCGTCAGTCATGTGAAAAAGACACCCCTGGTTGGTCCTATTTTTTAAAAAGGTTGTTTTACTTTTCTGTTTTTGTTAGCATGGGATAACAGCCATGACTCGGTCACACAGCAACAGTCTTCAGTCAGGGGTCTTTTCTGATTCACTGGAAGACGGACTGCTACCAAAGATCCTCCCCGCCCACAGCACCACCACCCCAAGAAAGTTGGCTCATATGAGTCGCTCACGACAGCGTTTAGTTTCTTTTGTTATTTTCAACTGAATTGAATTGGAGTTAAATTGGGAAAAATCACATTTTTAATTCCTCCAGAGAGGCTGTTTAATGTTTTATGTAGTACTCAGAGTTAAAGGGGAACTAGCTTTTTTAACGCTAAGCTAGTTAGCTTAGTTTCTGTCTAGTTCAGGTCACACCTTTACAAAAATTCCAATAAAAGAGAAACCCTGATGTGACGTCATAAGAAAAGAAGAATATAGGGTTAGAGTGTCATCACAGTTTGTCTCGGTTCAGAAGTAAGCTTCTTCTGTGTTTCAAGCTCCTAATGACGTCACCCCATTGGAGAGAAGTCGACTTTCTGCTTTTTCTCTCCTGTCAATACGTTGTTGGATGAGTATTTGATCAGGGCGGGGCGAGGGTGGCGGGGCGTGTCGACGAAGGTCACAGGATTGCCTTTGTTGTTTTCATGTAAATATATTTACAATAGATTCAAAGAAGAGGAAAAAAAAGGATACAGGGCAAAGAAAGGACAACACTGCAGAAGCACTTACAGGCACACCCAGTCAACACACACACACACACACACACACACACACCCCGCACGCACACACCACACACACACACACACACACACACACACACACACACACACACCCGCACGCACACACACACACACACACACACACACACACACACACACACACACACACACACACACACACACACACACACACTCGCATGCACACACACACACCCTGTTAGTGTGCAAATCACATGAGAAACCTGAAGCTGAAGGCTACCCGGCTCGTAAAGCTTCCTGTTGCAGAGCGGTGAGGTGCGTGTGAGTCTCTGCTGTCTTTCCTCAGGGTGTGCCATCACTGGATGTTTTCATTTCACCCAAACATAAATAAAATAAAATATAATAAATGAGCACCCAGTTAGGACGCGGAAAGAACCCTGTGAGCCTTTGTATTCCCACTGAGCGAACCACAAGACAGGGATGGTCCGGCACCATGTGACTGCATCCCACTGCCAGCTTCCAGGAGAGAACAACAGGAAGATTCAGCGATGCTCAGAGTTCCAGCGTTCCCCCACTCTCTCTTTATGCCTCAAGGGTAGAGGCTCTAAGCCTTGCACAATGTATTATGAAAAGAAATATTTATCCCTCAAAGAGCCTGGCAGCAGACTGGGCACATTGTTTTCCCGAACACCTACTGTACTGTCACAAGGTGTTTCCCATAGGGATGGAACGATTAATTGGAATAATCGCATTGCATCGATTATTGAGATAATCGCCAGCTAAGTTAGTGATCGATTAATCGTTAACTGGAGAGTACAGACTCAAAAAAGATGCCGTTTTCTGAAAGAACAACGTACTCAGAGCAGTAATTAATCCATAACTGTATGAAAAATGATACAAAGTTTCTATACATGTGATGTGGAGTCAAACAGAAACGTTTTGCATCGTTTTAGTTACAACCTGTGCTGCAAATGACCAAGCGTACTAAATCCCATTTTATTGAATTTTAGAAAATAAGATGTTTGTTTCTTATTTAAAAAAGGAACTGTATTAGTTATTTGCACGTTTTAATGTGTTTCTAATACTGCATTAAAAAATAGCTGAATATTTAAATGTCAGAATAATGCATAGACTAACCGATAACTGAAATAATCGTTAGTTGCAGCCCATAATGGAAACAATGAAAACATTGTTTCCATTAATAGGCACTCGACTTGTGCAATTTTTTAAAAAGTACATTATTCACTAACTCCTAGCTAATACCCTGATACACAATGCGCCGTCTTGCTATGAGAGGATGCTGCCCGGCTGCTCACCTGGTGTTGGTTGTAATTGTTCCTCTGCTGCAGGAAGGCGCCCTGCTGGGGGTGCATCTGGGGACTGACCGGAGACCTGCGGCTCTGCGGCTGCTGAGGAACGTTCATCTGAGGCGAGAACGGGCCGCCGAAGCCCTGCACGTTAATCCCGGCGCACGGATTAGCCGACACCGGCGAAAAGCTCTGAAAGAAGGCCGGGTTGATGGAGGACGGGATGCCCGGGTAGAAGCTGTTCTCGGAGTCCGCGCCGGGCATCTGGCTGATGGCGTTCGCGTGCATGGGGTTGATGGAGCTGGCCGCCGGCGGAGGCGAGGAGCTGGTCTGCACGGACCAAGGGGTGCCGAAACCGGGGAGGGAGGGCGAGGACGGGCCGCCGCCGGCGCTCTGGATCTCCTGGGAGGAGGGCAGGTTGGGGAAAGCGGCGCCGAGACCCCCGGACAGCATACTGCCGGTGCTGCTGCTGCTGCCATTGCCGTTATTCAAGTGGTGGGCGATGGGGGAGTCCATTTGGATCTCGTTCAGATTGCCAGAGGGAGGCGATGGCGTCGCAGCATCGGCTTCGGCCGCCTCCACAGCAGAGCCGCGGGGGTCAGCGGCGCTGGAGAAGGGCTGCAGGTGACCGAAGCGCCCCGGGGGCGGGGGGAACTGCTCTGCCGGGGTGAACCGGAGCTGCTGATGTGTGCTCCGCTGAAGGTCACAGAGGGACTGCGTGTGGCAGAAATGCTCGGGGAAAGAGATCTTCTGGGTTAGGTGGATGTAATCCGACGTGAAGGAGCTCGGCTGGCTCTCGGTCTGGACGGCTCGCTTCGCGGATTTGCTGACCGAGCCGCCGCTGCTGCTGCCGCCGCCGCCGCTGGTGCTGCTGCTGATGCGGTCCTCCTCCTCCTGGGCTGATGGGGGCAACTGAGCGGCTGTCACCCCCACCGGCTCATCCTGCATGTTGTGCTGATGCGCAGTCGCTGACAGGAAACGAGGGGACGCGGCGGCGCTCGTGAAGGGCGAACCGAGGAATAAATGACTCTCGGGGAAACTGGCAGGGCGAGGCGCAGGATCCGCGCGGCGGCGAAATCTACGAACACCAAGTTTGACGTTTCAACTCGGCAGGAAAGCGCTTTTAAAAAACGGCGTACAGTCGACCGCCGGTGTGTCTCTGTGTGGTCCTTCCAGCTGGTGGTGGTGGTGGTGGCGGCGGGGGGGATATGAGTGAATTGGCTGGAGGTGGAGGGGGTCAGGCCTAGACAGAAATACTCGCCTGCTTCCCGTCGGAGTCTCTCCTCGTCTCGGCGGACTCGCCGTCGAAACCTGAACACCGAGCTGCTTCGGCCTGGTTGCGCGTTTCCTAGCCGGCGCGGCCCATTCCCCTGTCCGAACCGTGCTGCCCCCCTCCTCCGGTGACCGGCTGGGCTGCTGCTGCGGCAGAGGATTAAAGATCCCCGACTCGAACCACGTCACGGCCGCATCACGCCTCCGTGCGCGCGCCTCGAGCCTGGAGCCGCAAAGAGGAGCCGCATTGTTTACGTCACTTTTTCATTATTCATAAAGTGCAGTGGGCCTACACACCCCTCGTTACACCGCTAAAGTCGCCTACAGCTGGGCGAGGCACCATATATAACCGTATTGTTGAGTAATATAGAAGTGTACATACGCTATACTCTTCTACTCTGCCTCATATTAGTGTATTCAGTCAATGAACGCAGGCACAAGCCGGCACACAGCCTGCAGACTACATTACCGAACGCCAAAAGTGCCACAAATATACGTATAGGCGCATGAACTAACCATTTGTAAATGCCAGTACAAAAATGTAAAATAAATTGGACATATACCTTAAACACGTAGCTACATTTAATTACATATGTCACTTGATTATTTTAAAATGATTTAAGTCTAATTATGTGGTTTAAAAGAGGAAAATCATGCATTATTTTGGTTTTATCACAGCCGCTTCACGGATCCTGTTTTCCACTGTGTCGTACTCAGGGTTATGCGTGGAATGCTTTTACTTTGGCTGTCAGGTTCTGTGTTTTTCTGTGTTTAATTCTGAGTTTCTGTGTCCTGAGTTCTCCTCGTTGTCCTGTCTTCCCCTTGATTGTTCCCAGGTGTGTCTTGTTCTCCTGATTACCCTCAGTGTATTTAGTCCCTCCTGTGTCCTTTGTTCCTTGTCGGGTCCTTGTCGTTGTCGTACTTTTGTTGTCAGTCAGATTGTCGTTGTTGTTTTCTGTGCCGCCCTTAAGACCAGTTGCTACCGGTGTGAGCCCTGGCTTCCGCTCAGCCGTGCTGCCTGGCCGCGGACTCTGTGTTTTTGTGGACTTGTTTTCATTAAATAATTTGTTATTCACCATATCTGGGTCTCCAGCGCCTGCCTCACCACCTCCACCACCACACTTCATGACAGAAGGACCCGACCAAGAATACGGTGAGGCTCGCTGAATTCAGCATGGACCCAGAGGGTTTAGAGGAGCTACTCCGTACTATCCAGGAGTATGAGGAGTCAAAGAGCACGTCCACGTTCGCCCTGAGACGGCTAGGGTTCGCGATACGCCTGGGCCTGCTGCTGGACTACTGGGTTCCACGTCTCCAGCACCCCGCGCTGGTGGAGCTGCAGCGGGAGGCAGAGGATATACGCCAGACAGCCTTCGCGGCGTGGGATGCTAAACCTCTGCCTCCCAGGCCAGACATCTGCTCCGCCAGCCCAGCCCCAGCTCCAGCCGCTGTTCCACATGCCGCTCCGCCGGCTGCCGTTCCTCGTGCTGCTCCGCCGGACCCCGCTCCGGCTGCCGCTCCTGCTCCGCCGGACCCCGCTCCGGCTGCCGCTCCTGCTCCGCCGGACCCCGCTCCGGCTGCCGCTCCTGCTCCTCCGGACCCCGCTCCGGCTGCCGTTCCTGCTCCGCCGGACCCCGCTCCGGCTGCCGCTCCTGCTCCGCCGGACCCCGCTCCGGCTGCCGCTCCTGCTCCGCCGGACCCCGCTCCGGCTGCCGCTCCTGCTCCGCCGGACCCCGCTCCGGCTGCGGCTCCTGCTCCGCCGGACCCCGCTCCGGCTTCGGCTCCTGCTCCGCCGGACCCCGCTCCGGCTCCTGCTCCGCCGGACCCCGCTCCGGCTCCTGCTCCTGCTCCGCCGGACCCCGCTCCGGCTTCGGCTCCTGCTCCGCCGGACCCCGCTCCGGCTTCGGCTCCTGCTCCGCCGGACCCCGCTCCGGCTTCGGCTCCTGCTCCGCCGGACCCCGCTTCGGCTCCTGCTCCGCCGGACCCCGCTCCGGCTCCTGCTCCGCCGGACCCCGCTCCGGCTCCTGCTCCGCCGGACCCCGCTCCGGCTCCTGCTCCGCCGGATTCCGCTCAGGCTTCGGCTCCTGCTCCGCCGGATTCCGCTCTGGCCTCCGTGGACTCTGCTCCTCGTGCCGCTGCTCCGGCAGCCTCTATCCCTAGTGCTCCTCCCGAGATCCCTAGTGCTCCTCCCGAGATCCCTAGTGCTCCTCCCGAGATCCCTAGTGCTCCTCCCGAGTCCCCTAGTGCTCCTCCCGAGTCCCCTAGTGCTCCTCCCGAGTCCCCTAGTGCTCCTCCCGAGTCCCCTAGTGCTCCTCCCGAGTCCCCTAGTGCTCCTCCCGAGTCCCCTAGTGCTCCTCCCGAGTCCCTAGTGCTCCTCCCGAGTCCCCTAGTGCTCCTCCCGAGATCCCTAGTGCTCCTCCCGAGATCCCTAGTGCTCCTCCCGAGTCCCCTAGTGCTCCTCCCGAGTCCCCTAGTGCTCCTCCCGAGTCCCCTAGTGCTCCTCCCGTGCCCCCTAGTGCTCCTCCCGTGCCCCCTAGTGCTCCTCCCGTGCCCCCTAGTGCTCCTCCCGTGCCTCCTAGGGCTCCTCCCGTGCCTCCTAGGGCTCCTCCCGTGCCCCCTAGCGCCCCTCCCGTGTCCCCTAGCGTCCCTTGGCGCCGAGGACGCCCTCCGGACCTCCCCTGTGGGTTCTGCCGCGGGCGCCGAGGACGCCCACCGGACCTCCTGTGGTTCTGCGCGGGCGCCGAGGACGCCCACCGGACCCCCCTCGACGCCTCTGCCCTCTTTCTGTTTAGTTTTTGACTCTTGGCCCCTCCTTGTGTTTCCGCCCACCTTTTGTGGGTAGTTTTTTTTTTTCTGGACTCTGGCTCTCCTTCCGTCGCCCCTCTGCCCACCCTGGTTTTTGGGTTTTGGATTTGTTTTTGGGCGTCTGGTAGCCGCCCTTTAAGGGGGGGGTACTGTCAGGTTCTGTGTTTTTCTGTGTTTAATTCTGAGTTTCTGTGTCCTGAGTTCTCCTCGTTGTCCTGTCTTCCCCTTGATTGTTCCCAGGTGTGTCTTGTTCTCCTGATTACCCTCAGTGTATTTAGTCCCTCCTGTGTCCTTTGTTCCTTGTCGGGTCCTTGTCGTTGTCGTACTTTTGTTGTCAGCCAGATTGTCGTTGTTGTTTTCTGTGCCGCCCTTAAGACCAGTTGCTACCGGTGTGAGCCCTGGCCTCTGCTCAGCCGTGCTGCCTGGCCGCGGACTCTGTATTTTTGTGGACTTGTTTTCATTAAATATTTCGTTATTCACCATATCTGGGTCTCCAGCGCCTGCCTCACCACCTCCACCACCACACCTCATGACATTGGCACTCCAAGATGGCAATGTTTGTATGGCCCTTCAATCGTTTGATCACACGTTCAGGTAATCGTTTATTGATTTGTTCTTTTGGTTAAAGTCTTTGTGGCCCAGCATCAGTCAGTGAGAGCAGCTCACCCTATTATGGTTGAGCGCGGGTTACCTGGAGCTAACTTGCTGTGCAGGTTAACCAATGAAGCGTCACGGTCCACCAAAAGAGCCACTATGGGATTTGAAACGATTAATTACCAGCAAAATAAATGACCATAAAATAATTATATAATACTATAATGACATGTAACTTTAATGTGTCTTAAATTTTTATTTTGTTGAATTCAAAAATAATGAATAACTTTTAGAGTCCCTTAACTAACACGTTAATATATATAGCTACATAATATTATATATATATATATATATTATGAATTGCATCTACTTTATTCAATTTCATATGTAACACCTACTTATTAAGCATATAAATATACATTTAATGACTTTCTTATTTATCTGATTTTAACACTTTTGTTCTTCCATAATGCCTGTTTGAACCACTGTAGAACTTAAGATCTGTGGACTATTGTTATTCTGCATAGGGGACATGCTCTATTCAGAATGAACTATTCCGAAACCCAATTTCATTTAAATATATATATATTTATTTGAGCAATTAATCTTGAATGTGGCCATAATTCCGTTTCGTTCCCAGCTCCTCGCTCTGAGCCTAAATATCAAAAGGCTTCATTTCCTTGAGCTCCTGCCAATCAGTATTCAGTTCACAGCAGCCACTGTGCGTACGTCTGCGGCAGCGTCACGTTACGACGCCAGCTTCTAAATATAGTTTTCTATGTCAGTCCTTGATGGGGGTGGGGTAGCGGGGGTGGTGGTGGTGGTGGGGACAAATCTCCGTCGACGGACAAGCAACCCCACCATATGATCTGCCTCTTAAATGGCCATCAGCCCCGGGTCTGCATGGCTTCTGGGGGGAATCTATTTCTGTGCAGATGGAAGGATTAGACTGTGGATCCTATACTGACTGCGGATGGGGGCAATAAAAGTCATATGTTCAATAACATGAATTAAATTATTGCCCTTCATTTTTTTCCTAAGCAGCTTTAGGGGTGGGTGTTATTAATTAATTTATTGATGATAATAATAATAATAATAATAATAATAGGTCATTTATGTTTCGGCAATTGATTTTCAATTGTTCTGAGAAGTTTATCCAAACATCTACATCAAACTGAACAGGGAACCAGAGCAAAACGTTCATCTCTAGTGAAAAATCAGGGAAAGTTAATTTGACAAGCGAGAAATGTCCTGGAATGGTGATCTACACATTCCTGAAATGTATCCCGAGCTCAGATTGAAGCATTGAAAATAAATAGGCGGAAAAAATAAAATAAAATCTTCGGATCGCGACAATGTTGATAAACCTACAAATGTTTTCCGAGCTTCTTTTCTGTGTGAACTTCGACTCTCTTGCTGTAATGGGTGGCCGATATTTGAAAGAGCACAGAAATGTACATTTAAAAGTACACAAATAAAATGTTGCAACTCATCAAAACATGAACAATTCTTGTCACACATCTGCATTGATGACTGACCAACATAGTCAGTTTCCCTGGGGAGCAACTGGTGTTGCCAGACAAAGTCAACCACAGCCCTGAAATCAATGCATCGCCACTGGTCGTCATTCTGCTCTGGTTTGGGGATTGTTTCCCCCTCAGTGTGAACTCATCCCCCCTCATCTCCCAACCCCTGATGTCTTACTTCACCTCCTCCCTCCTCACACCTTTTCCAGCTGTAAGCGAACACCCCAATAATCGGGGTCCCAGATGGGACGGTCCCACCGGTGGGAGAGCGGGGGCAGGTGTGGCGGTTGCTGCATCGCCGGCGAGCACCAGTGATTAGCCAGGCCCAGTAAAGTGCTGGAGGGAGTTCACTGAGTGCAGCCTCTCCA